ACAAGCCCCTGCCACGTTAGTCTTCCTAAAACCTGCTTCGGTTTTGCTGGTCGCAACAGTCAGACAGAGTAGCCCAGCTGCCTTCTGCTGGCTTTCCTCTGTGTGAGGGTAGGTAGCTCACAGTAACTCCAGACTCTCCAGGAAAGGTTAAATGGTGGGCTTCTGTTGCCCACCAGGAAATGCAATAAACTGCTCTACCTGCTGATCATGCGTCCGTCTGCTTTGTCTCAGAGGGTGGGGCGGGGGAGAGGATGCTGTGTGTGTATTTAAATTTATAATATGTTTTCAGAAATATATTACATGTCAATTTCTACTTTAGTATATATTAATATGTTACAGGTATTTATTTTATAATATCATGTGTATTTAATGCATCATATCTCCATCTCCCAACACCAGCTGCAATAGTGTGTACTTAATGGGTGATCACTCAATTAATGTTTACTAAGTAAATCCATTAACTGATTTTCTGCTTTATCTGGGTATTTGAATAAGTGGTTATTGAAGGCGATAACTTAACTTTTGTAACTCAACAAATAAGTCTAGAACGGGACGTGGAAGCCAGTGTAAAATAGCAGATATTTCCCAGCACGATATTTTTCAGAAGTTCACTTTATGGACGTGGAAAATTCCTCTGCTAATCTAGAAAGATAGCAGCAACAGCGTAACCTGAAGGTCAAGTGCAGGTCAGAGAGGTGCTGAGCCGGGACCCAGGCCTGCCTTGTCTGTTGAGTACAAAGGAAGTATTTCAGCTCAGTGAAATCTTTCACCTTCCATCATGCATGAATCATTTCCTTTCTATAACAGACATATCAGTAGACACTTCTCACCTCCTGGAAAACATACCCTGCCTCTTAAGGCTGATTTCTCCTGCTCATTAAGATTGTGAATGAAATGTAGACGCTGTTTAAGTCCTTCCCTTAAAAAGGCGTATAATCTGAAACTGAGTACCTTTTGTAATTGGAACTGAGGAAATTCACCTCACTGATAAAGTCTGTGAAGGCCTGGTGGGCGAGTTTTTGCAAAAAAAAAAAAAAAAACAAGTGATATGGCCAATTTAAGAGTTTAGGAATCCCTGTTGGAAATCCTGGCCTTGTTCCTTTATAAGAGCTGTGGTCCTTCTTGTAAGAGCTGCAATGGTTAGAGAATATTCAGTGAACCCAGAGGAAAGGCTGTGGGGGTTAATGGGGCGGGGAGCTCACCATTCAGCAACAGACAGCCCTGCTTTATTGTTACAATGTGGAATATGCCACAACATCATCTATATGTGTATATGCCGTGTCCACGAACCTGCGTGGACACGCACGTTTAGCTCCTGATAGTCAGTCCACTCACATCTGGGCGTTATGGGAAAGGGTACACATATTCCTCATCTCACTGACTTGGTCCTGTCGGGTATACGCAGCCTTAGCTCTGTTTTACGCAGCAGGCCACTAAGGCCCACGGTGGTTGAGGGGCCATCGCGCAGGCTTGCTGGGGGCACAGGGCACAGTAAAGGAAGGATGCACTTCCTGGGCAGGCCGTCCCCGGTCAGACGTCCTGGAGAATCTGCATGCTAGCTGCCAGGAAGGAAAAGAGGCACGCAGTGTTGAAACTGCACCTCTTAGATCCAGGGAGGCCCAGAGAGCAAAGCTTGTCCCAAAAACTACCGAAAAACCGTGCCTGTGTGGGATGAGGCCCACCTGCATCAGAAAGAGGACAGGTGGTGGATCTGCTGCCCATATCCCATCCCATCCTGAGAGTGTCCCTAAGAACTTGCAGCAATGTGCGGGTTTAGGCTGTTTCCCTCTCCCCCCAGCATCATCAGATACCTTGGTTTCCAAGTGTGGCGTGCCAAGGTCCTCTGACTGGCACTGTGTTGTTACCTGGGAGTGGAGGCAGTGTTCAGAGAGGCAGGAGGGCTGATGCAAGACAACATCATGTCCATCCTCTGGAGAAAAAGGAGGCTTATGTCCTGGGTGTAGGGTCATCTTGTTAGACCCAGCAAAGGCCTTTCACACATGACGTACGTGCTCTACACCAGAGACGCTCCGAACGTCCTGCCGTGGGCAATGTCTGCAGAACCATAGTACTGTGTGTGTTCTGTCAGTCTTGTGAAGCAGTTACACCGTCTTATTTAAAGATGGTCTTGGTCAATATCATCTTTCCATTTTATTTCATCTCCCCCAAAATATGCATATCATAGAAAGAAATATTTTTGAAGGCTTCGGGTTACTACTTGCCAGAGCAAGTCCCCGAGGTGGCATACGTGACATGCTGTGGCTGGGCCCAGTCCCTGCGGCAACGAGAGAGCTGCCTGGCTGTCCCTCACTGGCGAGCCTCCACCTCATTGCTGTGAGGCAGGGTGTCATCTCCTTGCCATCTTCAATCTTCCCGCACAACTCCTGGGAGAGACCCGGGGCCTCCAGGACCTGTCCGGCACGAGTGTTTCAGTCTTAGGTTCTCACTTGCCTCCGCTCTCCTTCCAGCTCAGCTCTCTCTCATAAAGAACTGCCACGTCCGACTCGTTTGTGTATTTTAGCTGAATCATTCCTCCAATTAGAGAAATATTCAGAGCAACAGATTTAAAGGCTCCCTCCCATTAAACCCAAATATCATCGGAGAGTGTGCTCCTGTTTATCTACTTAAAATGTTCCATAAATGGTAGGAATTTCAAGTAACTTAGCCTAGGAAAAGTGTGCATTTAAAGTAGTCTGCCTTGGGCCCAGCGCAATAGCATAATGGTTAAAGCCCTCACCTTGAACACACCGGGATCCCATATGGGCACCAGTTCTAATCCCAGCAGCTCCACTTCCCGGTTTCCGTCCAGCTCCCTGCTTGTGGCCTTAAAAAGCAGTTGAGGACGGCCCAAAGCCTTGGGACCCTGCACCCGTGTGGGAGACCTGGAAGAAGTTCCTGGCTCCTGGCTTTGGATTGGCGCAGCACCGGCCATTGCTGCTCACTTGGGGAGTGAACCATCAGATGGAAGATCTTGCTCTCTGTCTCTCCTCCTCTCTGTATATCTAACTTTCTGGTAAAATAAATTGAAGCTTTTTTTAAAAAAAAAAAGACTTATTTTTATTATTTTCTTATTGGAAAGGCGGATATACAGAGAGGAAGATATTCCGTCCGATGATTCACTCCCCAAGTGAGCGCAACGGCCGATGCTATGCCGGTCCGAAGCCAGGAGCCTCTTCCGGGTCTCCCACGTTGGTGCAGGGTCCCAAAGCTTTGGGCTGTCCTCAACTGCTTTCCCGGGCCACAAGCAGGGAGCTGGAAGGGAAGCGGGGCCGCCAGGATTAGAACCAGCCCCATCTGGGATCCCGGGCGTGCAAGGTGAGGACCTTAACCACTGCGCCACTGCGCCGGGCCCAATAAATTGAATCTTTAAAAAAAATAATAAAGTAGTCTGCCTTGTTTGGCTCCCAGTGGTCAAGGCCAAAGTGTTTATTGTGCAGTGCTCCCTGGAACTCAAAGCTAACTTCACCTGTGCTTCTGTGAGCTCCATGGCTGTCCACCTGCCAGGACAGAAGGCCTGAGCCTGGGCACCTCCCCTCCTAAACACTTTCTAGTGGTTCACACTCACAGGGCTGGAGGGTGGGCCGGGCAGCAGGCAGGTGGGACTAGACTTCGTGTCCGGCAAGGACGGATCCTCCTGAATGCATGCGCAACGTGGTGGAAAGGAGGAGATGGATGGACGGATGCCATCTGTGTTCTCAGGGCGCCAGGCCCATTCATGAGGGCCATCCCTGAAGGGCCCCTCTTCCTGCTCTCGCACAGGGTCATGGGGTTCAGCCTGTGCCTGTTGAAGGGACCCCAGCAGTCAGACCAAAGCAGCCAGGCGTCAGGATGTTCACGGAGAGAAGAGTGTCAGTCAGCCTGGTAGATCACCTTGTTCCTTGTTAAGGAAGAGCGTGGATTTAAAGATGTTCAAACACTTGCAAAGCAGGCTGGGTACAGGATCCCAAGGACTCCAGCAGCATATGAGCACCCAGGCCTGTTTTGTGCTGCTCAGGGTCCCCGCGCCCTTATCCCCCCGAAGTTTGACCAGTGACTGCCAGAGTCCCACAAAGTCTGGGTGATCAAAACACTGTGACCTGGCTTGAATTTTAGACTTATTTATTTTCTTGCGAAGTCAGATATACAGAGAGAAGGAGAGACAGAGAAGGAGACCTTCCATCCGCTGGTTCACTCCGCAAGAGGCTGCCAACAGCCATAGCTGAGCCAATCCAAAGGCAGGAGCTAAGAGTCTCTTCTGGGTCTCCCATATGGGTGCAGAGTCCCAAGGCTTTGGGCCATCCTCTCTATTGCTTTCCCTGCTTGTGGCCTGGCTTTGAATTGGCTCAGCTATGGCTGTTGGCACCCTAATGTCAGTGAAATGCAAGCAGATCCTCACCACAGGAAAGGGATCGAGTGGTTCAGATAGAGGGGAGTTCCCGTGTGCTGCTTCACTCCCGACAGGCCTCTAACGGCCAGGGTGGGGTCTGGCTGAAGCTGGAAGTTACCCGGCTCTCCCACTGAAGTGAGGGGAAAGCAACTCTTTGGCCCATCCCTGCTGCCTCCCAGGATCTGTGAGAATTACAGAGAGAGATGAAGAGATAGAGAGATCTTCCATCCAGTGGTTCGCTCCCCAGATGGCTGCACCAGCCTGGACTGGGCCAGGGACCAGGGGCATCTTCCTGGTCACCCACTCGAGTCCAGAGGCTCAAGGATTTTTGCCATTTTTCAGTTGCTTTCCCAGGAGCATGTTCAGGGAGCAGGATCGGAAGTGAGGAGCCACAACTTGAACAGGCAGCAGTTGTGGGATGGAGGCGTTGTAGGCAGTGTCTTGACCAACTATGTGACAGCATCAGGCCTGAAAGTAGACAAGTTGACACTAGACTAAACATCTGCCCAAGATGTCTCGATTCTCTGCCTCCTGCCCATAAGGAACACTTGGCTCACTGTTAAGCCCAAATAATGACAGATGTAACTGGCATATAACCTGGTCCTTGTCTAAAAACCTGTCTTTATTCTTCTAGGCCTCTTTTTCGCGGCAGTTCGGATGTGGACCAGCTAGGAAAGATCTTGGAGTAAGTACCACGTGTCCTCTTACACCAACGGCTGTAGCACTGTCACGCTGATGGTGCCTTTCCTCTGTGGTTCACATGAAACCTTTCTCTCTTGTCTCTCACCCACGCGGCTGCTGCAGACAGCGCTACTGTTTGCGCGGTGAGTGGGGAAGTGGCAGCAGTGTGCTGCAGACCCCGTGGCGCCGGGCGTGCGCCCCCTGCTGGGCTGCTGCTCCTGCAGATCTTCCCACTGTTCCTCTTTCTTTGCTTGGTTCTGGAATTGAGATGGTTTGTCTGCTTGTGGTCCGTTCAGAAGCACCCACCATCAGAGGCAGGCTGCACGGGGGTCCCCATGGCCAATTGCTCTTGGTTCTGTGTACCCGGGACAAGGAAGCATGCTTCACACGCCCGTTTTTCCTTGGCACATCCAGATGGGGTTTGGAGGTTCTCCGAGGCCTGCAGCCTGCAGGAGGTGCCTTGCACAAGGCCGGGCTGGGTGTCCACGGAGCCCAGCACACAGAAGGTGCTGTGCGACCACGTTGTTTTTCTGAGTACCTTAACGTCTCCACCTGTGGGAAATGGAACTGACGTGTGATTTCCATACGACCTCTTCCCGTGCACAGATCCTGGGGGCCCTCGGGTTTGTTGCTGGAGCTGCTCAGTGCCTGACAGAAGCTCTGTTCCTGCCTGCGTGTTTGTGCACGTGGGGCATGCGTGCCTTCATGTCTAGAATATAACCAGGGCCAAGCATGCAGCATGGTGTTCTTTGTGTGTGTGAGTGTGTGTGTGCATGCACACGTGTGTGTTGGCCAGTCTGTCAGAATGCGGGGCGTAGTCAAGAGAGGGTGGGAGTTCTGACCATAAGCAGAGCTGATGGCTGGCCCAGGAAATTGCCTAGGGATCCGGGTGGTTTCTGTGAGACTGGAAGCCTGTAGGACTGCCACACAGTGCCGCTGCAAGAGAGCAGTTGTGTGTTAGCAGCCTGTGTGCTGGCACACAACTGCTTCAAATGGGGGACCATCCTGGGAGTGGTGACTGCGGCCTGCCCCAGCCCACCACCTTCGAGGGCCAAGGGCCAAGTTCTCACCTCCAGGGGTTCCTAGGTGCGGGGTAGCTGCCTCGGCTATGGCTTCCACTTCCATACCACCCTGGAGGTGGACAGAGTCATCATAAGGCCTCCTGCTTCACTAACCAGGTCAGGGATAAACCTGGCCCCTTTGACTTTCCCCACGAGAGTTGAACAGATTTCATGTGCACAGGATCCCGAAGAGGGCACCCGGAACTCCAGCCACACCAGTGGCCAACTGGACAAAAGCCACTGCCTGTTCGGCCAGGCTGACGGCTCCCGGGCAGTTAAGTCCGTCTCCAGCATTGGCACCTGTACTTAGCACTGATACCGCCCCTTCACACAGGAGGCCAGGGCAGTAGACCAGTCAGAAGGAGCATCCGTCCAACACACCGTGTGATTCCTCAGGAAAGCCAGCCCTGTCTTGGTCCCTCTGTCCCAGTGTGCCGGCTACCAGGGGTTGCAAAGCCCTGTGTGTTGCGGGCCTGCATATCTCACTTCCTGGTTTGTGGTACCATTCCATGAAAATTATGTTCTGTTTTTCTGAATGCATTACCTTGCCAAAGACTAGGGACAGTCCCACACGCTAGTGTCACTTCTCTGCACGTTTTGAACCCTACCAGCTTTTCCAGGGTGCGTTGTCCTTTCTAAGGTCTGGATTCTCCTGTGCCCAAACAGTGGATTTTGACGCAAAGCCTTTCTAATGAGGCTCTGAGCATTTCAGCATGCCCCCTGTGGCGGCTGTGAAAGTCCTGGCCAGTCACGAAGCTGAATTTTGTTTTGAGAGGAAAGCCATGTTCGCACCCTCTTACAAGGAGACACAGCCTGCCATATCCAGAAAGATTTAGAACTTCAAAGAACAGCAAATACTTGCAAAGTGAAACACTGCTTTCAGCCTGTGACATTTTAGTGAATTTTTCAGAACAGCGTCATAATTAACTAGAAGTGAAAATACTGGATTTGGAGTAAGGACAGCTGGGCTCACTGTGAGCTCCGTGACAGAATATGCTGTGTGACCTTGCATTTATATATTTTTAGATTCATTTATTTTTATTTGAAAGGCAGAGACAGAGAGAGAGATCTTCAGCCCACTAGTTCACTCCCCCAAATGGTGGCCATGGCAGGAACTGAAGCGATCAGGAGCCAGGCGCTTCTTCCAGGTCTCCCACGCAGGTGGCAGAAACCCAAGGACATGGGTCATCCTCCGCTACTTTCCCAGACCGCAAACGAGGAGCTGGATGGGAAGTGGGCCAGCCAGGACCTGAGCTGAACCGGGGCCATAAGGAACGCCAGCGCCCAAGCTGAGGATTGGCTTGCTAGGCCATTGCACTGGCCCCCGTTTTAGAGTGAAAGAACTGCACAGAAGGAAAAGGAGAAACAGAGATACCTGAAGCACTGGTTCACTCTCCAGACGCCCACAATGACCAGTGCTGGGCCAGGCTGAAGCCAGGAGCCTGGAGTTTCTTCCTAGTCTCCCATGTGGGCGGCAGGGGCCCAAACACTTGGGCCATCTACTGCTGCTCTTCCCAGGCCACTGGTAAGGAGCTAAAAGCTGAAAAGGATTCAAGGACAGTTTTTCGATCTTTAGTAAAAATTCTTTTCTTCCTGTTCCCTGTGTTATTTTTTTTCTAAGCACATACCTGCCATTCTTTTCATAATTGATAGTGGCAGTTTTGTTTTTTTTTTATTCCCATTGTAGGCTTTGCTGTTAGGCATATCAGTGTATGTCTCATGCTGTCATTTGTGTCCATTGATTCCAGTGAATATGGGCCTCTTTATCTCAATATTGTGATGCTGTCCAAGGTCACCCTCTGCCGCTCTGTGACAGGGGCAGGTGACAAGGGCATCTGACCTCCACAAGTGAAGCCTTGGACCTGGCCTTTCCAGCACAGGGGAGCACTGCTTCCTGGGCCGTGGTCCTAGTGAGAGCAAGCCAATGAGCAGACTCTAACGTACGCCGGAACCACTCCTTACCCAGCAGTTCTGATAACAGCATGCCCCAATGCTGAAATAGCTGGAGATTTTCTCTGCCTTACACTGTTTTTTTTTTTTTTTTCCTTTTACTTAAGAGTTATCCAGGGCCTGACGCAATAACCTAGTGGCTGAAGTCCTCACTTTGAGCGTGCCAGGATCCCATATGGGCACTGGTTCTAGTCCCGGCGGCCCCGCTTTCCATCTGGCTCCCTGCTTGTGGCCTGGGAGAGCAGTGAAGGATGGCCCAGGGCCATAGGACCCTGCAGCCACGTGGGAGACCCATAGGAGACTCCTGGCTACTGGCTTCAGCTCAGCTCAGCTGTGCTCTGGCCGTTGCAGCTACTTGGGGAGTGAATCGGCGATCGGAGGATATTTCTCTCTCCTCCTCTCCGTATATCTGACTTTGCAATAAAAATAAATAAATCTTTTTAAAAAGAGAGAGTTATCCAGAGTCAGATACAAATTCTCCCATCCTTTGATTTTACTTGTTCAAGCCCACTTACCCACCTGTTCATTCATTTTTCTTTTTTTTTTTTTTTAAAGATTTATTTTTATTATTTTTTTTCATTGGAAAGGCGGATATACAGAGAGGAGAGACAGAGAGGAAGATCTTCCGTCCGATGATTCACTCCCCAAGTGAGCCGCAACGGGCCGATACTATGCCGATCCGAAGCCAGGAGCATCTTCCGGGTCTCCCACGCGGGTGCAGGGTCCCAAAGCTTTGGGCCGTCCTCGACTGCTTTCCCAGGCCACAGGCAGGGAGCTGGAAGGGAAGCGGGGCTGCCGGGATTAGAACCGGCGCCCATATGGGATCCCAGGCGTGCAAGGCGAGGACTTAACCACTTGCGCCACCGCGCCGGGCCCACATTCATTTTAAATAATATATAATGCATACATTGTGCAGGGCCACAAAACTTACCAGCAATTCCAACGGACCTGAAGTTACTTGTAAACAGAACAGAGGCAAGGTGGTGATTCTAGTGTGCTAGGGAAGTGTTTCCTCTGCCTTGGGGTTAGCAGCGTTCTTCCTGTTAGCGATAACAGTAGATAACGTGTTGGTGTTGAGTGTGTGTTGGGCACCATGCCACACCGTTATTTGTTTCCACTACCACAGAGTCTCATTATTGCCAAAAGTCATTGCCGTTGTGGTATTCACAAAGGTACCGAGTCATTTCTTCTTACCTGCCAATAACAGTTTAACCCAAGTCTGCCTGCTTCCCAAATTAGTTGGGTTTTGTTTTGCTGTTGTTTTTTTTTTTTTTTGAGTGTTTGTTTGTATGTTTGTCACTTGCGATTCTCCACCTTTCTGATCCCAGAAAAGTTTTCAGAGAAAACATTGGTCTTTTAATTTATGTTTTGCTCACTCTGGCATACAAACACTTGCTTTATGATATAGTTGAGACTTAAGGCAGAGGAAGAACCTGCCCTTTAAGAGACCTCATTTTTATTCTGAGATTCTAATGTAAATAATGGCTCTTTGGAGAATTATTATTTGGTCAAAAATGCAGCCATGTGTTGGTAATGCATGTTGGAGGAGCATTCTACCGGGGCTGGAGTAGCCCCAACACTCCTGGGCACCAAGACCGCCATGCAGGCCTCCTGGCTGGAACAAGTGCTGGGCTGCTGCCCCGGCAGGGCTGACACCCAAGGAATATACCCCTCCATTCCTCCAGTGTACCAAACATTGAGTCATTTCCTGTCCCTGTCCAGCAAACCCGACAGTTGTGTTTCCCCTATGCCCCATGACCACCCTGTCACAGGATCTCAGAGTGGAGGGATCCTGGGCCCCCAGGCCCCACCTGCCTGCCCCCACCAAACTGCCATTCTCCACACTGGGGTGAGCAGAGGGTGTTGACATTGAGGCGAGTGCTCATGGGCACCTGTGGTTCTTTCCTAGTGTCATTGGACTCCCGGGAGAAGAGGACTGGCCCAGAGACGTGGCTGTTCCCAGGCAGGCGTTTCATTCCAAATCCGCCCAGCCAATCGAGAAGTTTGTGACCGATATTGATGAGCTGGGCAAGGATCTCCTTCTGGTAAGTTGGCATGGTGCCACTAAGAGACCTGCCCAGTGTGGTGGCTCAGGTGTCATGCAGCTGCTGTTCCAGGTGGCACCTGTGGGGCCATGGAAGACCCAAGACTGCAGTGCCCCCCTTAGGTTGGCTTTCAGCACCTGGAGTGTTAGTAGTTCCAATGTGGAAATTTCCTCCATAAACAGCATTATTACATGAGGTTTTTAATATTAAAAGCCTCCTTCTTCTTAAAGAGACAAAAGGAGGAAATCCACTCATCTAACAGTATTTCAAGGTTTCCACATGGAGACTCTCACCCAAACTCCCATCTGGCTGCAGAGTTCTCTCTCTCTCTGCTGGCACCACGTGCCCAGTGTGGAAGCAGCTTCCAGGTAGCCCTGTAGGGACACATTCTGACATCCAGACGGCATCCCCACATCCCTCCTCTCCGTCCTGTGCCCTGCCTTGGATAACATCACCACCTGATTTCCTCTTTCTCGGATTCTGGAGGGACAGAACTCAGGCTTGCGGCTCTAGAATTCTGCCCCCAGGGTAGGTGTTGCGGTAGAGCTAATTCAACCTCAGCTTAGAATGCCTGCAACCAAAAAGGCAATGCATGGAGTCAGGTCCCACCTCTACTTTCAAGCCAGCTCCCTACTGAAGCACCTTGGAGGTGGCAGATGATGATGCAATCACTGGAGTCCCTGAAACCCACATGGAGTTCTTGCTGCTAGTCTAGACCTAGCCCAGCCCCACTGTCCACCAACACTTGGGGAAATAAAGTAAAAAAAAAAGTCTCTTACCCCCTTATCTGTCAATCTAGCTCTGCCTCTCAAATAAAAATGAATAGGAGTCTACATTGTGGCCTAGTGGGCTAAGCCACCACTCATGACATTGGCATCCCTTATTAAAAGACTGAGTGCAGTCCCAGCTGCTTCGCTTCCAATCCAGCTTCCTGCTAATGTCTATGGGAGGCAGCCAAAGATGACCTAAGTATTTGGACTCCGGCTTTGGCCAGCAGTAGTCCTGCCCATTACAACCATTTGGGGAATGAGCCAAAAGAAGATTGTCTTTTTTTCCCTCTCCCCCCTTGCTTGGCAGGAATCCAAACACTCAGCCACTGCTTCCCAGGTATACAATGGTAAGAAGCTGTAATCAGGAACACAATCTGGGATAGGGAAAGCAGACCTGCCAAGCCACGTCTTTATCCCTTAGCTCTCCCCAGAGTCCAGGTTTCGGCACCTTCATTCAGTAGTTACCCTTTGCTCCTGAACAAGGGGCCACTCACTGACGGGTCAAGTGGCAAGGTAAAAAGTTAGGAGGAAGCCTATGACTTGAGCACTGCAATTGTTAACACCTGAAGACTTGACCTTGTGACTGTAGTTGTAGGCATGTAGCAATGAGAACATGTGCCATGGCTTGGAGAGGCCTTCTGGGTGGGCCCAAAAGGTGTTGCCTTGCCCCAAGAGGTGGTGCTGACCCCACTTTTTGGAGTGGCTTGAAAGACATGCTCATTCCAGTCGTGAATCCAGCCGAGACCATGGGAAGAAGGTTGTGCCCTCAGCTGCTCACTCACGTGGCCGGCTCTCACAGCAGTCACTTCTGTTTTGTCTGTTGCAGAAGTGCTTGACCTTTAACCCCGCCAAGAGGATATCTGCCTATGGTGCCCTGGCTCACCCGTACTTCCAGGACCTGGAGAGGGGCAAGGAGAGCCTAGATGCCCATCTGCCATCCAGCCAGAACGCCTCTGAGCTGAACACAGCCTGAGGCCCTCCAACTGCCCGGAGCCCATCATCTGGAGGCCACCTGCTGGCTGCCAGGTCCCCAAGCACACCCCGCAGAGTTGACAAGGACGACTGTTCCCAGGCCTGCGGCCACCACCTACCAACCAGGCTCTGCTCCTCCGAGAAAACCACCTAGTTTACTGTTCTAAAATCAATGCAAGAGTGATTGCAGCTTGATGTTTGTGTGTCTGTCTGTCTGTCTGTCTGTTTCAAGAACCTGGAAAAACTCCAGAGGAAGAGAAGCTGCTGACCAATTGTGCTGCCATTTCCTTTTTCTGACCTTTAATGCTGCCCGATGTGGAGTGGGTTTCCAGGCACAGCTGACTAGTGGTGTCACCGGCCTGCGGCTGCTGGGCCTCACTTGGTACTTCCAAGAGTGGCGTGTATGAGCACGTGTGTGTGTGTATGTGTGTGTGTGAGAGAGAGAGAGAAATTGGTTCAGTGATTTCTTAAAGTGTTAACTTTTTGTAAACAGCACCAATACTTCAATTATAAAGACTCAAGGTGATCAATAAGTAACAAGCCTTTGCTCACCAGGACGGTCTCACCGTTAGGGTCTGCTCGGAGGACAAAGTTGAGCCTGTGCCCTCACGTTCTCAATGTTTCCCTTCTGGCCAAAAGCGGTCCATTTGCTAGTTGTAGAGGAGAAAAGTTTTATACACACAGCAAAAAAGGAAAAAAAAATTATGTTGTAAGAGACCTGTTTTTTAAAGCATGCTTTCTATTTACTCTTTGAAAAGCTGGATTTACTCGTAAGCCTATTTTAACCTTCTCTTATAGTATCATACCTTTTATTGTTTCTTTTGGAAAATATCCTAGAGGCTTTTTTTATTATTATTATTACTTGTTATAGTTTTAGAGAGTGTACCTCAAATAGGTTTTTAAAAAATAGGTAAAGCCCTTTGTTTCCTGACCTGAAACATCATTATTACCTTTCTGTTGTTAGTTGTGTAGGTTTGGGGTTTCGGGGTTCCCTGCTTGGGTTTGAAGAGTAGCTTCTTGTGCCTCTAGAGACAGAAGTGCCTTCAGCTTACCCCAACTGGGACACTGTACTTGCCACCAGGCACTGCCTTTGCTTGCAAAGTGTCCCACCTGCCCGGCCCAGCCCAGCCCCTGCAGTCCCAGTGGCTACTACAGAAATGATGATGGGTTGCTGCCACTGCCTGCTCTCCGGGAACCTTCTCGGCTGCACAGCTTGAGGCCATGGCTATGGCCTCAGTTGTACACATCCCCGGAGGACCCCTGGGCTCTCGCTGGCGCAGGCTTTGCCAGGCTGTGATACTTCTGCCTCGTCCCCAGGCACAGGCATCATTGGTCACTAGGACTTGGTGTTTGGCGTTTTCGTGGGGTGCTTTATCCGTGAAGTATCTGGGAGAGCGTCTTTGCTGTAGGTGCTAAGCTGTCTCTTCATGCCGGGCTGCGCTTGGTTCTGCTGCCTGGTGTCCGCCCCGGCGCCCTTTAGGGCCAGCCTGAGCTGGGCCAGCCTGAGCAGGGCCTTGTAAACAGCTTTACTCGTTTGCTCTACCCGCCATAGGGTCCATCCCATCACTGCCTTGTGCACAGGCAAATGTGGTCAGTTGACATGGACAGTATCTGTTGGGAAGCTCAGCTTCCTTGGCTTTCTGCCTCATCTTTTGAGAGCACTCAACAGTTACATCATGTTTAGAGTCAGGATTTTTCAAAGAAGAGACAGTACTTCTCTCAGCAGAAAAGGAAAAAAAAATGTTTCCTGATGTTGTGTATGCCCTATCCAGCCTTGCTGAGTTCTTCACAGCTTTCCTTCATACAGTACTGCCTTGAGCAAAAGGAGAGAAATCAGGGGCCTCTCTTTGAGCTGGGGTCGGGAGCCATTCTTGGTTAATGCAAGATAAAGGGAAAAAATAGCTGTAAGAATGGTTTCCAGTCCCTTCCTCTGGCCACACCTGTCAGCTCTGAAAATGCTCAAGATGGTCCTACCCAGGTTGATGTGCTCCTGGTCTCGCCCAGACAAGTGAGTTCCGCCTTTGCCTTGCTCGACAGTCACAATGCTGGGAGAGTTTGGCTGGGGCCTAGAAGTGGACTTATCCACATCACTGCACCAACTCTCCTGAGCTCTCTGGGTGGTGTCCATGCTTAGGGCGATCATAACTTGAAATTTTGCTTCTGCAGAGTGTTTTCCTAAGTTCACTAAAGATTAAGAAAAAAAGCAGCTGTTCTAAACTGGAATTTTTCAGCATTCTTTAGGGTTTAAACAAGTAGAGAGCTCAAATTTTATTTCCTACGTTCTACTTTCTTGGCTTATCTCTTAAATAGTGTTTGTAAAACAAAAACAAAAACAAAATGCAAGCGCAGATGTCTTAGTGTTAGGAATGTGGTCTTCTGACAACGCTGCCCAAAGGGGCATTGTGGCCATTTATTCAGAGTCTGTCGCAGCTCACCTTTATCGTGGCTGCTGCCCATGTGCCCCCTACAGCTCCCCAGTGCCGAATGCCAGGCCCTATGCAGGCAGCCTTGACGTGAGAGCCCATGCAACACACACGTGATGGAGGAAGAACTTAGGGAGTCTGCAGCAGTTGACTGAGGGCCACGCTGCCCCTGGGCAGCTTCTCACGAGTAAAAATGTGGTGACCAGCCAAATCACGTTGGAATGCCAGACCAGGAACCACTGCGTAGGGTAGGATCGGCGCAGTGCACAAATCAAAAGAACCATGTCCATTTGGTGATCATAAGTTATCAGAGGGCAACCCAGAATTCCTGAGAGCTTGGGAGCAGCCGGGTGGATTGGAGCCTCCCACTTTTTTTCTCCTTTGAAGCAGGTGGGAACCTGTCCACAGGAAGGCCCAGGGTGTTTTCACCTGCCCTTCTTTCAGGAAGCACTTGCTATGAATGACAGGCTTTTCATTTATCCTTGGTGAATGCCTAAAAATCATTCACACTGATTGAGTAGAGAATCTCAGCTTTGCAGTTGTAAGTAAAAATGAGAACGGACCAGATGTTGATCTCTGAGCATGTTCCTGCTCGGGGAAGGATGGATAGTTTGCGGAGTGTGGCACTGTCCATCTTGACAAGTAAACACACAGTACCCAACATTTGGAGCTTCAGATGATGACCCAAGCTTTCGTGGCACTGCAGCTGCCTCTCTTAAAAGTGATGCCGGTCAGACTCACGAACAAATTGTCCTCCCATCAGGCACATCAGATCATGTGAGCTTCCTGATAGCATAGACACATTAAAATGTTCCCTGCAAAGACTTGCTGTTCAGTGCCAGCTTGACTGTGTTTATGATCCGCGCATGAGGCATAGCTCGAGTCTTTCAGAAAGTTGACCCTAGGGAAGAACAATGCTAAAAATGGATTGCCTGCATAGTTGCTAAATTGTGTTACTACCGAAATTGCAGAATATTTACCTGGGAAAGAATACTGAAAGATTCTTCCAACTTCCTAGATATGGATGGATTTCAGCCAACTGCATGCCTTACGTGGTGACTGATAATAAAGATGCTGTGTGATTTCTAAATCTTCAAAAATTTTTCATAAAGCAGCGGGCAACTGGAGCAAATGCAGATGTTCCATGCACAGAGCAAAGTAGAGGGCATACTTTTCGTTATCAGACATATTGTACAAATTTATCATAAACTCAGCTGGTGACTGTGGACTTGGTAAGCACAGTTGAGCATGCTGAGTGATGTGCGCTGTACTCATGTCACTAGGAGTGCTGGCCACTTGGAGCGGTACTTGCCACACAAGCCCTCAAGGGGGCCTTGTCATAGCACGAGCAAAAGGCAGTAGGTAAAGCCTATGCCACCAGGACTCTGGACAAATGGCAAGCCCTACCACAAGTGGGGTACATCATGCACACTAAACACAGTCAAGTTTATCATTCAGAAAGTCCTTTTGGGCTCCTCTGAGCCTTGGAGAGTTAGCAGTGGGGGTTCCCTGGAAAGCAGGAGAGAACAACCTCACCCTGTCATGCTCGCTGGCTCCCTCTGAGCATCCGGGCATCTTCAGCTGTGTGGTGGGGCACACACGCTTAGACCTCACGCATTCCTCACAGGTGCCGATCCACTCCACGATGGGGCTCTTCTGTCCGCCTGGACTTTGTGCACCTGAGCCCTCAACATGAAAGTTGCATCTTGCCAGTGTCTTTTCCCTTAGTCAGATTTTCTGTTGTTTGGGGTTTTTTTTGTTTATTTGTTGCTTTTTTTTTTTAATGAAGTGCCGATTACCTTTTCAAAACGTTCTCTGCTTTGTAGCATCCTTGGGACATGCACTTAGAGAAACCAAAGGGGTGCTGTCACCAAGCTGCCTGAAAGTCAATAAGCTTTTTTCGGACACCTATTTAAATACAGTTACAGCACTGTTATGAAATTCATGCAGTAGAAAAGGGAAATCATTTTTCTTTCTTAAAAAAAGCTGAGATGGACTTTGTATATTCCAGTAAATTCCACAAGGTGGCGTTATCAGAGAAAATTTAAAATCTGAAGAAGGCCCTAAAGAAGCAGTTTATAAGACTTGGTTCTAATGATTTCTTCTGCATGCGTGTAACTCTTGCCTAGCACTTATTTAGCTGGGTACGCAGTAGTTCTCAGAATGCTCTAGAACTTTGGTCTTATTAACTAGATTCTGAATGGTTGCAGTTACATTCTACTGGTGAATAAATAATACACTATTCTGACCTTTTTGGTGAGTAAAGAAAATGCACTCATCATTTATTCAGGATGGCTGGAGTGTCTTCTAGGTTAGGACAGGCTTTTGTACCCTCATCTGTGAACAGGATGGTTTGGTTAGGGGCATAAAGCTACTCCAGTGGCCCCGGTCAAAACACCCCCAGCTGCTGTGTGCTGCTCTCATGCTCCCCAGAACTTGGCTTTGCAAGGCCGGTTTAACTTCCCAGTGCAGGGTGACTAGTCACCATGAAGTCAGCAGAGCTCCTCGTCAGGAATGGCTCTCCCCAAACAGCCCCGAAGTCCTTACAGAGCCAGGAATCTGTAATTGTCTCATTTGTATAATCACATGAAAACTCGCGGAGAAAGTATTTGTTTGGTCTTGACAGGATGTGAGCTGAACAACTGAGGATCAGCCCCTAAGTAGATCTTTAGCTTTCTCTACTCTGGAAGTTTGAAGCAAATCCATATATATCCTTGTAATTCACAAGTCGGCCGAGAAGCTCGCTCCTGCCTATCCCGTCCCTCCCCACCAACTGATGTAAGCTAATTTTGGAAGCTATGCGCTCTCTCCACAGTGAGTTTAGAAGGAAGGAAGCCAAGGGCTTCCTCAGACATGGCTTCGGAGCGCTCTGTCCCTCTGTGGCGGGCACTCAGCCCCTGCTTGGCCTCCCACGCCAAGACCGGCCGGCTCGGCTCTCAGTGGAGACCAAGGCTCACACCCCACCAGCAAGGCAAGCTCTCTGCCCCCGCCCGCGCCCACTGCAGTGGTCCTCAGTGTGTAAGACCCCAAGGGAGAAGCACACCCTTTGCTCCTGTGCTATTAAACTTGATTGCCCCCTCAACCACCATCCTGAGGCCCCTCCCGCCTCCCTGCCCGGCTCCCACGGGCCCTGCTGCTGTGCTGACAACACCTGGTGTGTCTCCTGTACGTGGATGAGTACACTCAGCCCCAGAGCTCGGGTCTGGAGGGCTGGTGGCCGTTGCTTGGGGACGCCGCCTACCTGCCGTCTCAAGCTGTAAGCTCAGCCTCATTTCTGTTCTTGGGTTTTTTTTTTCTTTGAAGAGAATATGTATAATTACAGGAGAGGTGTTTTGTTTATTTTTAAATTTTCTGTCATTCTACATATATGAGGGCAACAATATGCCTGGGAAAGGTTTGTTAAGTCTCCTGCTCCATCTTTGGTTGGCAAAAGCTCCTCCCTGATTAGCTTCCAATGTCTTTGTCAAGTAATTAAAGGTTTGCAAGCAAATTATCTCATGTGGGATTGGCTAGTCGGGAGGATGCTCCTGTGTGCCACCTTTGCTCACAGAATGCATTAGCCTCTGCCCTCTGACTCATACTCCTCAGAGGGGCACAGGACTACGGACAGACTGCTGACAGCTGGCATCCTCACACCCACCAGCAGGGTAGGGCCTGCCACCAGTTCATTTCCTACTTTGGGCTTCCAGCTATGTGCCCTGGGGGCACTTGGGTCACTTGAAATCTTGTTAGGTTTTACAAAAATGCAATAGCACCGGTTCACTAGCAGTGTCAGCAGCGGTCACCTACCGCCCTGCATGTGACGTCTAAACCTGAGGAATGAAGACAGATTGTGTCTGGAGAGTTTTCTTGAACCCCCCAAGTACATCATGCATGTTTTGCGTGCTAATTCTCCGTGGGCTGGCAGCATACATGTGTGCATTGTAGTCCCTCATGTACTGACTGACTCTCCTGGGGCTGTCACAGAGATGTCACCACACAGAGGAATCGCGTCAGGTGCCCTAGGGCAGCACTTAACACGGGGGCAGGGAATGGTTTTTCAAGGTTTTCTACATTTGCATAAATTATTCCTATTATTATTCATGTGTATTATTTATTTCTGAATCACACTAGTCCTGTGAAAGTGCAACTGAAGACAAAAAAAAAATATATCAGGACCCGCATCTAGCAAGGTTCATTCTCATGGTCTTGGTGGAGCTAAGCTAACAAAATCAGGCTGAACCCCCAAATAAGCTGCATGTGTTTGACATGATTACTAGATTTTAAGTCTGTAGATGTAGTGTTTGTGGTGTCTAGGTATTTTATCACTATGTAAGTAAAGGACTTTGTAGTTGTTGCTTTTTTCAATTATGCCTATAGTATAGTGTGAAAACACAGCAAGCTTATATATATACATACACATATACATATATACACATGTACTAGAAATAGAGAAGCATTTTAGAAACTGCCTTAATTTAGCACTTGTGCCCAACGGCCAGCAGAGACTGGTACCTGGGCGGGCCTTGTGATGGCACGTCTGCCTGCCCAGTGGAGCCCATGGGGGTATCACATGCAGCTGTGGGAACGGATAACGCCAGGGAGTTGTGCTGTGGAAGCAGAGCTGGGCCCATTGTGCCTTGCAGCTTCCACAGTGTGTCCACTGGAGAAGTCCTAGGTTGGTGTGCTTCTGGCAGCCTGGCTGTGCACAGACGCAGCCCCCTCTGGTGGCATCGTCGACAAAGGGATTCTGGCAGCCAGCCGTTCCCACCACCTCAGAAGTTTGCCACACTGGCAGTGTCCTAGGTTTTAGCTGAAGGTTAAAGGGCAAGTGTTTGGATAGAAAAGCAGTATGTGTTGAGAAAAGCACACTGCCTGTTCTTGTGGAGCGCAGGTTAGAAGTCGAGAGCGTAGGAGGCTCATCCGCTCTGAGATGCATAGAAGGATGTGTTCACTGTGCAGTGGGATAGTTTTTTCTCTGATGCCACAGGACCCACTGAAAACTTTGATTTTAGCAAGGCAGTCGCACACAGTAAGCTTTATTTTTTTTTTCTTGACTTAAAAATATTTTAAAAGTAAAAAAAAAAAACTTAATTTGAACATTTGACTTGTTGGCTTCTGTGTTTTAGAAATATAGAGATTGTGCATGTCAGATGCCTACTGACTTACCAATGACCAGCAAACCTACCCCTGTGCACCTGTCCCCTGTGCAATGCCCCCCTCCTGCCCCTCCGCTGAGGTGCTCACTGCCATTGGCCTGCCACTGCCATGGCCATGTGCTGCTCTCCGTCTTCTGCTAGACTTGGGGCACTGAGGACATAAGAGATACTTTAGCCACAATGAGCATGCTTGTCCACACTTGGCAGCTGCCCACACTGGCCTCCAGCTCATCACGCCGATCAAGAGTCCTTGGGGCCAGTGCTGTGGTACAGTGAGTAAAAACACCCCTGCAAAGCCAGCATCCCTTATTGTCAGAGCGCCAGTTCCAATCCAGGCTACTCAGCTTCCAGTCCAACTCGCTGCTGGTGTATCTGGGAAGGCAGCTGGAGATGGCCCACGCACGGGTCCCTGCCACCCAGGTGGGAAACTTGAATGAAGCTCCTGGCTGATCCAGGCCTCGCTTTTGCTGCCATCTGGAGAGTGTTTCAGCAGTTGGACAATCTCCCTCTCTGTCCCTTTGCCTGTCAAATGAAAACATCTTGAGAGAGAGGGACGGTGCCTGCTGGGAGGCACCGAGTGTGCTCATGGTATCCCTCAGAAATGACCCTCCAGCATCTTGGTAGGCATGTTGATTTTTAAACCAAGTCATTCTGCAGAGCATTCAGCTCTGACTGTGGTACCAAGCAAAAAAAAAAAAAATTAACCCAGACTAGAAACCACATTCCAAGCTGCTGTCTCCCTGTCCATCTGCAGGCTGTACTTTTACTGTATTTCTTCATACTTGAAACTCATTCTGCTATGTCAGTATCAGGGTACAGACTTCCAAGGGTGCGTGTCCTTTCAGGTGCATAATGACCCGTTCCGTTGGCGCGTTTCACTGCCGCGTGCTCTGTTTTGGTGCCTTGGGTTCCTCAGGTCCAAGAGGCAGCGCGGGCAAGCGCTGCCGGGACCACGGGCTTAGATGAATGCTGCCAGATGACTTGGTATCCACTTGTGCCTTCCCCTTCTCTCTCCACAAGGTGGAGCAGGACCACACCTGCCCGGCCACCTGACTGCCCTTCCGGACAGGCCACCTGTAGCACAGAGATCTTCCTCCCCACCCGGCTGATGTAGCCTTCAGAGAGAAACGGCCTTGGGTGTAGATGGCAACTGTGGAAAGGGCCCACTCCTCCATCCTCCCCAGAAGGCTCCCCGGAAGCCACACTAGATCAGAGCCCCCCGGGTGGAATATTGTCGTCCCATACTGCTGGACGCAGATCAGAATACCTAGACTCTCCCCGCCTGCAAAGGAGGCCTAATTCAGGGCTGCTGGGGCCAGAGGGAGCTGCTGCTGGCCACGCCTCCTCACTGGGGCAGGTGGGGGAGGGGAGGATCTGCAGTGGGGATTCTGTCGCCAGAAAATGCAGAGTGTTGCAGATCAATGATTCTTTGCAAACTGGATGTCTTACTGGGTGCTAGAATGCAAATTTAGGTATTTATTGTCAAATAATGGAATTCATTGTTTTTCTTTTTTTCAAAATTGTTGACATGTCACTGTCCATTGTGTTCACTTATGTGCAAGCTAAATTGAGTGAAGCAAAAAAGAAAGAAAATGGTTTGTACATTTGTCATGCCTTTTGTATTTCTTACAATAAAAATATTGGTAGGCAATAAAAGTAATAAAACAGCAAATTTTACACTGCTTTCTCGGAGGTGACTTACTCTCCTGGATGTTTTTATTTTTAATACAAAGTGAATCTGTAACTGAAGTAACATTGTTAAAGATCAAATATTAGCGGGCCTGGCACGATGGCTACATCCTCACCTGACACACGCTGGGATCCCATGTGGGCACCAGTTCATATCCCGGCTGCTCCACTTCCCGACTGGCTCCCTGCTTGTGACCTGGGAAAGCAGCAAGGACAGCCCAAGGCTTTGGAACCCTGTGGGAGACCCCAGAGGAGGCTCCTGGCTCCTGAATTCAGGTGGGGGGCGGTCAGCTCTGGCCATTGTGGCCACTTGGGGAGTGTACCAGTGGATGGGGAATTTTTATTTCCTCTCTGTGAATCTGCCTTTCCAAGAAAAATGAGTAAATCTTTAAAAACAAAAAGATCCATATTAGTGGAACATGTAGAAAGCTTGAAGAGACTCCTTTTCAGGCTCGCAGTGTTTTTAAAAAGTAAGTCGGGGTCCACACTGGCTCAGAGGGCCGAGTCACCACTTAAAAGGCAAGCATCACAATCAGAGGCTTTGTCCCTTCCAATCCAGCTTCCTACTGCTGGGCTTAGGTGGGCAGCAGGAGATGGCCCAGGTGCTTGGGCCCCTGTCATCCACAGGAGAGACCTGGCTGGGGCTCCTGAGTTCTGGCTTCAGCCTGGACCAGTTCTAGCTGTTGAGTCTCAGGGTGAACCAGCTAGTCCAGTAGAAACACTGCAAAAGGAAGGGCCTGAAGTTAGGAAGGGGGCGGGGGAGTTGGCGATTGGCCAGAGTGTACCTGGGACTACTGCTTCCCAGCACAGGGCACAGGTTTGATACACACGCACTTGTCTTCTGTCCAAGCTGCCCATGCAGCACCCACCTGTCATCCAGAGCCTGTGTTGGCAGCGAGAACAACAGGTGCTTGTTTCCGCAAATACAGGCTCCAATGCGCAATGCCCGCTCGTGGCGATCCTGCCACCCTGGTGGGATTCCTGCCCCCTGGCTCGACCCTGGGGAGGCACCAGCAGCATTTAGGAAATAAAGCCACGGAGGAGAGCATGCTGTCCTTGTCCGGACCTTGCTTCTCTGTCCTTCAGACAGCAGTTATAAAGCCGGTGGAATGCAGCGGTGTACTGCTGAGCAGTGAACGGCAGGGAACAGCTGAAGCTCACAACAGAGGAAAACCCAAATGCACTGTGAAAAAGACAGGCAAGGCTGCCTGGGGCCATTTATGAGAGATTTTAGGAAAAGCAAAGTGACAACAAAACAGACTTCTGTTGCTCGGAGCTGGGCAACAGGGAAGCCAGCTGACTGCCGGAGCCTGAGCACTTGGCTGAAGAAGCTGTTCACTTAACGGTGTGTGGGCTCATGAATTGCACACTGATCAAAACTCATCAAACTGAATTTTAAGCTGGTGACTTACGTGTAAACCGTATCTCAATAAAGCTGATTTTTCCAAAAGTGAAGATCCTCTCTATCCGTGCTAACCACGCCAACCTGAGGTCAGCTGGAAGAGGGCTGTGACAGCGCGTGGGTCCTCTCCTGCACAAACTGCCCCACCATGGTGGCAAGCGTTCTCCTTTGTGACTCACCTCCCTGGGAGCTTCCTCCACCTTCATCGTTCAGTGCAAGTGCTCACACAGAATTTGCAAAAGCGCCCTAAAGCTGCTCGGCCTTCGTGACGCAGATGTTCCTTTAAAACACATCCTTGATAATGGTGGAGAGCCAAAGGTGGTATTTACTGTTGATTATTTTTACTCTGTGCAGAAAAAAACAGAAAGGTACCTGAAACCCCACAGAAAAATGGGATTCAAAGACCAGCTGATTTTGGTGCCAGAGGGGGGAAAAGGGGCTTTCAATCCTGTTTTAGAGATGAGTGTGGGATTTGCAAGAGGGAGTGAATTGGAAAAGGATGCCACGTCCCCATACTCAGAGCTCAGCAGGCTATGATGAGGTAGGTACGGGCAAGTCCACTCTGGCCAGGTGTATCCCGGCCGGCAGGTCAGCCGGACAGCCACATGTCACTGAGCTTTTCAGCTGTCGCAGGCTGGGAGGCCTCACTCTACTGGGCTCTGCCTGGGGTGGGCACGTGCCACATCAGTAAAGCCCATCCCGAGTGCCCGAGCTCTAGCTCCAGTTTCCTGCTGGTGCCCACCCTGGGAGGCAGCACTCTGTGGCCTCAGGAACGTGTCTGCCGCCCACCTGGGAGACCTGGACAGAGTGCCCGGCTCCTGGCTTCAGTCTGCTTTGCCTGCAGGAATACAGCCAAGTGGCTTGGACTGGCGCTCAGGGTCCTCCGTCTCCAGCCCTGGCTGGCTGCCGTGCCTGGATGGGTCCCCTTCACTGGCACCCAGGTCGCTCCCACTGTTTGGAACCTGCTTCCCTCCCAGTTTACGCTTGGGAAGTCGGCCGAGGCCCCAACCCACACGGAACGCCCACCCTGGTGGAGGCAGTGCGCAGTGGCAGCATGGCACAACACTTGCTGCTCTCCCCACCTGCCCTGGCGGCCTCAGCTTCGCTTCTCTCCTGAGGCAGGACTTGCAACTATGTACTTGGCTTATCGTCACCTTGTTTTCCCTCATCTGGAAAACAAAATGCAATCTCTTGGCTGCCCGAAGAACGTGTAGGCACAGCACTAGCAGGCCCGGGTTTGTGAGCTGGTCCCAGGCTGCAGGAGCCGGGAGAGCGCGCCTCCCTCCCACAGGAGGCTTCAGAGAGCAGGTGGGCGGAGCTGGCCGCTGTGCAGGCCCTGGACCTCCCCAGGGTTCTCCTCCCCTCCGCCCATGCTCACTGCCTCTCCCCTCTACGACTTTCTGCTCTTAAAGCATTATATATAGTATAGTGAATACTTTAAATATAATCTTTAAATATATTTAAGCTTTAGCTACATTTAAAGTAATCACTATACCATCTAAAACACCCCCAAAGTGTAAGAACGTGAGAGAAGAGGAAATAATACCAAAAGGGGGGGGGGGAAGGGAAGGGAACCGTATCGACAAATACAGGTATATGTGTATTAAAGATATTTTTTGTTAGTTTTACCTCAAAGGCAGAGTTACAGAGCAAGAGAGAGATCTTACATCCACTAGTTCACTCCCCAGATGAATGCAGTGGCCAGAACTGGGCTGGTCCAGAGCTGGGTTCCAGCAGCTTCTTACGGGTCCTCCACGTGGGTGCAGAGACCCAGAGACTTGGGCCATCTTTCACGGCTTTCCCCAGTCATAAGCAGGGAGCTGCATTGTAAGTGGAGCCGCTGGGAATTGAAGCGGTGCCTCTGTGGTATGCCGGTGCTGCATGTGGAGGCTTAGCTTGCTATGCCACATTGTGGATCCCAGGTATATATGTTTATCATGTCAGCGTTGAAAACTTAAGTAAGATCTGCAAAAAAAAAAATAATAATAATAACTAGGGCAGGCATTTGGGACATCCACATCTCAGGGTTCAAGTCCCACCTCTGCCACCCCAGACAGCAGTGGGCGGTCAAGTCCCTGGGTCCCTGCCACCACTAAGCTCCCAGGTCCTGGCTTCCGACCAGCCAGGCTGGCCTACTGTGGACGGCAGTGTCTGCATCTGTCGGATTACCCTTTAAAAGTGGCAACTTACCTTCCAGCCATTCTCTTTTTCCTGCTGGGCATACACAGCAGGCGGTCTTTGGTCAAGGTCTCCAGCCTGTGCAAGGGTCAATTGGAGGAATCAAGGTCTGAGGTGGGATTCACAGGGGAAGGCCAGGTGGGCTACCCAGGGAGACGCACTTTGGTGGTGAGGGGTAGAACATCCAGGGTTGTCCTGGAGTTCGGGAAGCTTCCGGAAGTTTCGAGAAAGACCTTGGCTGCTGAGAAAGCGCAGGAGGGAGAGCAGGATCAGGCAACACGGTATTTTGATGCGTTTAATGCGTTTCCTTTCTCATACCGAGGGAAGTGTCTCCTCCGGCACCCATGTCATCCAGCGTCTGTGCCAATGGCACCACAACAGGACATGCCACGCGGGGCGTGACCAGCATGATCACCAGGCACAGGCCTCAGCTGAAGCTCCCAGCCACCCCGCATGAGGACACAGCACAGGGCGGTTGCTCCAAACTCAGAGTGGAACGATGCCTGGGAGGCACGTGCTGGTATCCAACTTCTAAGACAGTGTCTGAGCCAGCCCTGTGGGCCTGAGGGACTCCAGGGGGACCACATCGGCCTCAGCCTCCACTCTGTGCCCTGCAGGCGCGCTGTCAAGCAGTGCAATCCGGGGAATGAGAACTCCAGGGCATCACCCGAAGCTAAAGCTCCCGTGGGGCCGGCGTGGACCGAAACGCTCGGGGCAGGGCGTGCAGGAGCCCTCCGCGGCGGCAGGGGGCGCTGCGCGGGACGCCGAGGCCGTCGGTCGGCGCCGCGCCGCTCTTTGGGCGCGGTGGGCCGGCGTACGTGCGACGTCGGCGGCAGGGGTGGCGGTGGCGGGCCCAGCTCGGCTGCTCCTGGCGCTTGGTCCGGTTCGGCGTGTGGCTGCGCGCCGGGGCGGGCACCATGGGCAAGCGGGACAATCGGGTGGTGAGTGCCGGGCGGTGACGCGGGGCCGGGCTTGGCGGCGCTCGGAGGGCCGCGGCCGGCGCTCGGGCGTGGAGCCGGGAGAGCCGCGGCCGGAGCGCGGGCGCAGATGCGCGTGCGCCGCGCGCGCTGTTGGCGCCTTGGGGTCCCCGGCGCCGTGGCCGCGCTCCCCTCCTGCTTCCCCGTGCTTCCTCTTCCTCCTCTACCCCGCGCTCCCTCGGCACCTGGGCCCGCTTGGCGCACCTGGAGAGCACCCCGGGTTCGGCAGGTGCTCGGCATCTCCCAGGTGTGGGAGGCCGACTCGGAAGCGACCCCCTCTGCTTGGCACCCAGCAGACCCCTGTGTAAGAATGGGTGGTCGTGCAAAACCTGCTGGCTCCCGGCTCCAGCACGCGCTGGTTTTACGCGGTCGGGAGTTAGAGGATCCGGGGCAAGTTCCCGTGTGTGTGTTTCATGATGACCCCGCAGCCTTTGCAGAGTAGTGGACAGCACGAACGGCTGGACGTTGACAAAGAGCGCTCCCAGGCATGATAAACCTAACTCGTAAATGAAGAATTCAGAGAGACAAAGAGGCCTTAAAAAAAAAAAAAGAGGCAGCGAACAGTGGAACCCTGAGGTGTGTTAGGGCAACAGATTTTGAAAGGCAGGTGTTTGCCGGAGTTCATGAAAAGCGCCTGATGGGAATTAAAGTGTGCGTGCATCTCAGAAGTATCCTGGCACCACAGAAAGGCTGGCAGCTGAATATTTTTTTCTAGGAATTAACTCCTAGCAGAGAAAAAAGAGCCGGTCCCTGCTCACACGGCTGTGGGGGCTTTGGAAAGAGGAGAATCAGTTGAGGTGGCTGTGGAGCCCTGGGGAGCAGGTGGCTGGCCAGGTGCCGAGGGTCAGGGACTAGCAAGGTTGGCTGGCTGCCTAGCAGCTGCTGGGTGGGCCAGAGCACCGTAGGGCTCACTTGGTGAATGAACCAGCTTTTTCCTTGCCTGGGCTGTGAGTTTTTTTGAAATGGCAGCATTCCCCATCTTAAAAAGATTGATTTGCATCTTACCAAAAAAAAAAATTTGGTGTTTGTTTAAGAGGCAGGCAGGCAGGCAGCCCCCATGCACAGGTTCACGTCCCTGAAGCCATACCAGCCAGGTCTCCCGCGGAGTGGCAGGTGCTGTCACCTGCACGGGCACCACCTCGCCAACCACTGCTGTTTGCCTTGCTGTCATCTCAGTGGGAGCCGAGGGGGCCAGGGTGCCAGCTTGAGGAATGCAGTCTCCACGGGTGGCACCCCAATCGCCTCCGAGTGAGGAGCCCCGCGAGGGTTGAGGAGGTAGGGTGTTTGGCCTTGAGTGCGTAGGAAGCACTTGACCTTGGGTGCACTTGCTTACAGAGTCCTGGAATGTTTCATTTTGTCGGAGAAAAGTAGTTTTCACTCTACACATGCATTGAAAGCACATGAAAAGCTGCCGTCGGCTTCATGCTGCAGTGCGCCCCTGTGCTGCCTCCTGCCAGGGCTGTGCTGCCTCCTGCCAGGGCTGTGCTGCCAGCCTGCGGTGGGCTCGGGTGGGCTCGGGTGGGCTCGGGGTGGGAGATCAGAGAGGGACCTCTGGCTTTGCATCTTGCAGGAGGGAAGCTGCGCCCCTGACTTGCCTCATCTGATGGTGCGGTACCTACTAGCTCATGTTACTGTGACTGTATCTGCTAGGACAGTTTTAGGGTCACAGCACAGCTGAGAGGGAAGGGGTACCCGCAACATGTGTTGTTCCCCGCCTGTGAGCTGGCACCCCACCCCAACACGCTGGCTGGCCTCTGTGCATCTTCCATGCAGCCTGGGGCTGTCCCTGGGGCCTGTCGGTGGCTTCCCTGCTCCGCCTTCTCAGCCCTTTCCCCAACCTGCTGATGTTGTGTTGGCTCTGGTTGTACCACAGTAAATCACAGCAATGTTCCTTGTAAAATCTTTTGACACTTTTTGAAATTGCCTCGAACAATTCCAGCTGGCTCTTCAACCGTGGATGGCAGGGTTGCTTTCTAAAGGAGCTCTTACATTTGACAGAACTTTTATACATACACATAAATATGTGTGTGTATACATGTATATATATTTGAAAGGCAGAGTTCAGAGAGGTGGATCTTCCTTGTGCTGCCCCATTGGCCACAGCAGCTGCGCCAGGCCGGAGCCTGGGTGCTGGGGCCTGTCCTCTGCTGCTTTCCCAGATACACAGGAGGGGGCTGGTTTGAAAGTGGAGCAGCTGAGACTTAAACTAGTGGGTCATTTAGGATGCCAGTGCTGCAGAGGGCAGCTTAAACTCATTGTGCCACAGCCCAGGTAGAACAATTGGGAAAGGAAAAAAAACCTTTTTTTAGAAAAGTCTTGGGTTCACAGCAAAATGGAGCAGAGAGAGTAGTTTGCATTTTCCCATATTCTCAGACTCCATGGTTGGCAGCGGCTGGCACCAGGGTAGTGCTTCCGCCCCGTGCACCCTGAAGTTTTAGGTGTCACAGTAGGACTTATTCTTGGTGTTTATGTTATTGAACACTTTAATGGAACATTGTAGTTGTTGAGATTTTTAAATGATGTGAGTTCCTGATGGCAGCCGTCTCTGCCTGCTGTTTCTGGAACTTGGTGTAATGTTCTGAGTTCCTGCCCACTGAGACAGAAGCAGAGCCCTGGTGAAGGCAGCTAAGCAGAAGGCGGTGTGTGCGGTTGTGCAGCCTGTGTCCTTACTGGCTTTGCTACCTGGCTTTTCATGTCTGCCCTGTGAATATCCACGTGGTTCCAACTTGTCCTCCTGAGCTTCAAGCCAACCCATTTTCTTTCACCAAAACTCGTGCTGCATATATTCCGTGTTACCTGCAGATGTTTTGTTACGGAATCACGGAATTTAAAAGGCTGAGCTGGAAGGGCTCATCCCCTTAATGTGAAAGGCGTGATTTGGGGATCATCGTGATGTGACAGGCAGAGCTGGCATCCAGTATTGGTACCAGTTCATATTCTGGCTGTCCTTCTGATTCAGCTCCCTGCTAATGGCCTGAGTGTTTGGGATTCTGCCACCCACCAGGGAGACCCAGATGAAGCTCCTGGCTCCTAGTGTTGGCCTGGCCCAGTGCTGGCACTGTGGCCATGGTGGTGAGCCAGTGAAGGAAAATTTCTAGCTCTCCCTCTCGATTCTTTCAAAATAAACTGTATTTTTCACACTGTTGCATAACTGAAAAAAATTCTTTTGGTAAGTAGTAACTTTTTGTTTTCTTTTTTAAAGATTTATTGTTTATTGGAAAGAGAGATAGAGATACAGAAAGATTTTCCATCCACTGATTCACTCCCAAGTGGCTGCAACAGCCAGAGCTGAGCTGAACTCATCCAAAGCCAGGAGCTTCCTCCAGGTCTCCCCATGGGTGCAGGGTCCCAAGGCTTTGGCCTATCCTCAGCTGACTCCCCCAGGCCACAAGCAGGGAGCTGGATGGGAAGAGGAGCAGCCGGGATTTGAGCTAATGCCCATATGGGATCCTTGTGTGTGCAAGGCAAGGATTTAACCAATAGGCTACCTCGCAGGTCCAATTTTTTGTTTTCATAGCTCTGGACTTGGATGTGTAGTGTGGTATTTGAGACCACTCTTGGGGTCCCTGCGTCCCGTTATGAGTCAGAAGCCCCTGAGACCCCACTGTGGCCCTGCAGCCTGGCCAGCTCCAGCCAGCCATAGGGACAGTTGGGGTTCGTTTTTCACTTTCTGTCTTCCTCCTCCTTTTCCTCCCTCTCACCTTTCAAATAAGTCTGTTTTTAAAAGCATTATTGCTGGGCCCGGCGGCATGGCCTAGCGGCTTAAGTCCTCGCCTTGAATGCCCCGGGATCCCATGTGGGCGCTGGTTCTAATCCCAGCACCTCCACTTCCCATCCAGTTCCCTGCTTGTGGCCTTAAGAAGCAGTTGAGGATGGCCCAAAGCCTTGGGACCCTGCACCCGCATGGGAGACCTGGAAGAAGTTCCTGGATCCTGGCTTCGGATCAGCATAGCCTCAGCCGTTGCGCTCACTTGGGGAGTGAATCATCGGACAGAAGATCTTCCTCTCTGTCTCTCCTCCTCTCTGTATATCTCACTTTCCAATAAATAAATAAATCTTTAAAAAAAATAAATAGATAAAAGCGTTATTGCTTAATGAGTAAGAGCAGACTATCAAGTATTTTGTATGAAGGACTGCATACAAAATGCAGAAATATTTAAAGTGTACTTGATACAGAATGGGAGTAATGTTTATTGTTAAAAGCCTAAAAGCAAAAGTTCCCGTTTCAGCTGTGCGTTAGTAAGTACACCTGAGTTGCCTGTGGTTTGTAGTGCTACCATGTGAGTACACTGCTACACTATTTCCTCTGAAGTAAAAAAGAGTGGTGTATACTTTGGGAAAGCAGATTGACTATAGAAATTAAGATACAGAAACATGTTAATATACTTTTAAGACATATGCTGGAAAAGTTGAAGACTGAAAAGGGTAAATGTTGTCCATGATTCTTAAAAGTTAGAATAAGGGCTGGCTCTGTGGCATAGCAGGTAAAGGCAGTGCCTACAATGCCCACATCCCATATGGACCCTGGGCTCTGTCTTGGCTGCGTCACTTGCAGTCCAGGTCCTGCTAGTGACCTAGGAAAGCAGCAGCAGATGGCTCAAGTGCTAGGCCAACCCTGCCCCCTGTGTGGGAGACCTGGAAGGAGCTCCTGGCTCCTGGCTTCAGTATGGCCCGGTGTGGGCTGTTGCAGCCTTCTGCGCTGTAAGAAGATGGGTATCTCTCTGAGAGATAAGTAAATAAGTCTTTAAGGGGAAGAAAGTGTGATTGATTGGGAGCTTCAGGGCATCCATGTTTATAAAAGAACAGAACTGCAGGGCCAGTGTTGGCATATCAGATCAAGGTGTGTCCCTCCTGTGCCTGATGGAGCTCCCTGCTGCGACACCTGGGAAAGCAGAGCATGACGCCGTGTTTGGGCTCCTGTTCCCACATGGGAGACCCAGGTGAAGCTCCTTGCTGCTGTCTTGCCTGACCCCAGTTCTTGCAGCTGTCTGGGGAATGAACCAGGAGATGGAAGATCATGTCTCCCTCGTTCTGTGTAGCTACCTTTCAGATAAATAAATACGGGTGTGTATCTGCATGTAAAACTGTGCCAGTCTTTGATGTTCATAGTTGATGCCATGTGAACATCTCTGGCATTAGTTCTAGTGTTCATTCTTGGAGGGAAATTGTCAAAAGTTTGTTTTTTCATCCCAAGTAGTAGAAGTAATTTTCCGTATGTATTATTTTGTGGTTGTAAGTTGTTTTTTCTGCTAGAGAAACCAGAAATGTGTGATGGTTGTTGTGAAGATGGGAAATACAGATCTTGTTGTTAAGAGGACAGCACACACATTGTTCTACTTTTGGAATGCCGAATTTTCAGTGTAAGGCCTTATCAGCCTTAATAGTTGTCATTTTCTATCCAAATTCCATTTGTTTGTTTGTTTTAACTTAGTTGAGAGAGAAACAAAGAGAGCTGCATCCACTGCCAGAATTAGGAAGAACATAGATCTATAGTTTCTTCATTGAGCTAAATTATACATAATAAAAAATTTGATTTCTTTTTGTTTAAATTGTTGCCTTCATCAAGAGATCTTTCACGTGCAAGTTCACTGCTGAAATGCATGCAGCAGCCGAGGTTAGGCCAGGTGAAAGCTGGAGCCTAGAGGTCAGCGCTGGGTCCTGGCCTTCCGGCCGCTGCGTCCCGGGGATGGCAGGCACAGCGGCGGAGCTGGGACTCAGAGGAGACGGCCCCGTGAGGGTGCAGGACTCACAAGGAGCTGCCTCACTGCGCGTGTCATACTGAATTCTTAAGTGGGTGGTTCAGTAATGCTAATTTCACTCTGTTACACAGTTACGTGCTGTTCATGTCTAGAACTTTCAGTCATCCTTCAAGATGTTCTAGACACTTCCTGGAGAGGGGAAGTTCAGGGCCATGGGCCACACAAGTTGTAGGATCGTGTAGTCTGGCGTTTCTCAGACAGCCAAAGATGTTACTTGAAATTCGGTAGATCGGAGACAGCCTCATTTTAAGTTGGTAACTGTATGGCCCTTGAGATAAGGAAGGCTCTCCCCGCTGCCAGAGCTCGCCCTGCCTCGGCCACTTCTCCCACTGCCTGCAGTCTCTGGGAGTTTGCTCATCCTGGGTGCCTCGGTGGAGTCCTGCCTGTGGTCTCTCTGGCTTGTTTCATTTAGCACAGTGTGCTGGGGTGCGTCCAGGCTGTAGTGTCTGTCGGGGTGTCATTCCTTTTGCTGACCAATGGCACCGTGTGTGCATCGTATTTGAAATGGCCGCTCACCTTAGGTGGACGGGTATGTTTCTCTGGGGTGTTGTGAGTGCCTCTGTCAGACTTGTATGCCAACTGTTTCTGAGTCCGTTCGGGTCTTTCTGAGTGTGTACCCAGAAGTGGAATCACTGTCCCGTGGTTTGAGGAACCACTGAAGTTTCCGCAGCAGCTGGACCATGTTGTTATTCTTACCTGCACTGCACAGCGTGCCAGTTCCTGCAGCTCCTTGCCAGCAAGAGCCACCCTGATGACTGAGACAGCTTCTTGTTCTGGTTTCGGTTTGCTTTCCCAGATGACTGAACCATTTGGGACATCTCCTGTGCTCACAGGACGTTCACTGTACCTTTGGGACAAATTTCTGTTCACATCATTTGCTCATTTTTTGAATTGGATTGTTTGCAGGGTCTTTTGGTATTGAATTGCTCTGTGCATTTTGAATATTAATCCCGAATTGAATATATGTTTTGCAAATGTTTTCTCCTGTGTTATGAATCATCTTTTATTATTCTGTTGGTATCCCTTGATGTATAGATTTTTTACAAAATTTTATGAAACAGCATGTTTTGTTGCCTTGTAATCTCATTTCTTCTGTTAATTTGCAAATAAAATTGATATCAATATGGCACAGTATTTACTGACATAGGAAATACAGTAGACTAAGTAGCGAATCTAGAGTTTGTTCTTTTCTGGCTTCTTCGAACGTGGTTCTTGTCGTTTACCTGTGCGTGTGGGGTGGCTGCCCTCCCTGCACTGCTGGGCTGGCAGAGTATCACTGTATATTATACTTCATCAGACCTCTGGTGAAAACACACACTCTACAAATAGTGATGTTACTTTTCTTTCAAATTTTCAGGCTTAAATAAAAGGTTAAATTTGTATCTAGCAATGCGGAGTTAGATTGTACTCACTTGGGTATAGGATATATTTGTAACGGAAAGCACTTGGTGAGCCAGTGAGCATTCACATTTTCTGTTTTCGTGGTCTGTGTATTGAATCACTCTCTGTCCTTCTCTCGAGGCCTACATGAACCCCATAGCGATGGCCAGATCCAGGGGTCCAGTCCAGTCCTCAGGGCCGACAATCCAGGATTATCTGAATCGGCCAAGACCTACCTGGTAATTGAGAAAGTTTATCTGCTTTTAACTTTTAAAAGTTTTTTCTTACAATTTTTGTTTTCCAAACAATTTTCAGATAACTTAGGTGAGTCTTTAAAGTGATATTTAATATGCACTTTCTTTTGAGTCTGTGACCCATGTATACAACTCTAGATCAAGCTATGCAGGTAACTTTTTCATGCCAGTCTCCTCTCTATACTGTAACCAGTTGTAACCTTTCAGTGTTATAAACTGTCTGAAATAGTTTATGTGAACGAGGTTATGCTTCATTGAAGTACATAACATCACCAGATGTTAGGTGGAATAATGTTTAGCCTGAGTTCTAGTTGTGTTTCAGTGAGTTAGAAAAACTGAGTGTCCCTGATCTTGTAAATAAAGCATCATAGCGCAGATCATACTGTCTTGAAGGATGTTTTTTGTATAACACTCCTGCAGTGGCAACGGCACGCTTCAAAGTTAGCTTTCCAATCCTGAGCGCCCTGAAGGCAGGAGCTGTGGGTGAAAGGTGCACTTGTATCCCCTAGCAGGTCCTTCCTTAACGTAAGCCTGTCCCCTTCCAGCGTCCTTGAGTGCTGTCCTTAACTGTGCAGCAAGCCGAGTGCCATCGTACTCACACGTAGTGCACTTGCTGTACGTTGGGGAGGGGACGAACCTGAAGGGACCTCTGCCAGCCAGGGCAGTGTGTGCTGCACAGGTCCTGAGGACAACCCTGGGGCTGTCCTCATGGTAGAGTTGGCTGCAGTGCAAGACCAGGCACTATCAGCAGGAGCCTGGGGGGCCCAATCAGAAGGCTGGGGGCAAGCCTTGGAGGGGGTTCAGCACATGTCACAAGGATTATTGCCAACTGGGATCATTGAGGAACTGTAACTTTAGAAAGGGCTGCTCGACTTGTCTTCCTACCCAGAGTCTGACATACTGAGCCTTGATTACCAGACAGGAACTTGGGGCTTTAATGCACCTGGGTAAACCAACTCTGAAGGAATGACCCTTAGTTTGTTGCAGCCCTAGAATTTACTGCTGTAGTCCAGATATCTGTTGGTCCTGTCATCCCCTCAACAAAGTAATTGTTCTTTTTCCAAAAATTTGAAAGGATCATGCTCATTTTTGTCATTTTCAGACTTCACTGCCTTATGAAGATCTTGTATGTGACAATATAATAAAATCTTTGTATCTGTTAATTCCGCTGTATCTGTTGGATTACTGGGTCTAGCAAAGACCAATCTAAGGGTTGGAAGAGAACTGTCGCCCCTACATCACGCAGGGTAATGAGTCACACAAGGTTAATGCATTAGCAAGGAGTTGTGCCAACAGACGCTGCCACCCAGCGACACTAAGTACCCAGCGTTGCAGTGCAGCCGCTGCCTGCTAGGTGCTGCAGTTTCTGATTTCTAAAAGAAAAGCAGGTGTCTGTTTCAACATCATTGTGTGCGTGCACACTGCAGGCCTGTGTGGTCGTTCCCAGGTGCCCCTCCACGGCCAGGCTCCTGAGTGGCCCACGAATTAGCAATCAGGCATGCTGTTTTAGCTGCTCTGTACACCCCGGCTGGTGCGTAATCAGACAGGCAGCTCAGTAATGGAGTGCGGTGATGCCGTGGGGTAGCTCGTGGCTGCCCTTAACCCTGACCCTAATAGCTCAGGGCCTTGTGCAGGTTTCTTCTCTTCTTCAAGCTTCTAGCTTGTTGACATGAACATTTGCAAGATAGCAACATGAAAATGCTTCTGGAACTTTTGTCTTATGTATGAGTGTCCTGATTTAAATCACTTGACAATCAATCCATCTGTGCATCCTGTTTTTAAGGGAAGAAGTAAAAGAGCAACTGGAGAAGAAAAAGAAAGGCTCCAAGGCTTTGGCTGAATTTGAAGAAAAGATGAATGAGGTTTGTACATAGTTCTCAAAATAAGGAATTTTTTTGATAAGATAATTGTTAATAGTAGCTTGGGTTTCAGTGTAGTTCTTGAGGCTCAGAGAGTTCTGTGCTTCAGACGTGTTACTGTTACATTCAGTGCAGATTTCTATGTAAGTGTTCATTTTCTTTTGAAAATACAGAATAATCATCTTGTGGTGGTCTTAGTCATCTCTGTGCCCTCCTCCTTACCCTGAGATTTCCGTAGTGAGGTTTGCTTGTCTTGGAAAAGCGTGCATGAATATTGAACTGTAGTCTGAACTTACTGGGCTTGTGCAGGCCAAAGTCCCCAGCAGCAGCCTGGGCCCCTCTCCTCGGGACACAGTGTTTGGGAGGACCAGAGAGTCCCTTGGGGCTGCAGCGGGGCGCTGGGATGGGGTGGGACGAGAGGAAAGAAAAGAGTAGACGGGTGGTCTTGTAACGCTACAAGGAATGTGTTAGAAGAGGACGGGGAAAGCCCTGATAGCGTGTATAACCTCTTTTGTAGAACTGGAAGAAGGAACTAGAAAAACACAGAGAAAAACTATTAAGTGGAAGTGAAAGTTCATCCAAAAAAAGACAGGTAATACCATTTGAGTTTGTTGCCATTCTTAATCTCATGTTGGGTTTTCATAATAATGCCATATGCTGATATTAATAAATGTGCTTGAAAGCTTCAACAAGTTACATAGCCTTCCACATTTATTTTGTTTCCATTTAGAGAAAGAAAAAAGAAAAGAAGAAATCTGGTAGGGTGAGCAAAATTTTTCCATTTTTGTAACTATTACACTTAAGGTACAAACAAGTAAGAGTAACTGATTTACGAGCACCTGCCACAAGGTCATGTGGACTCTGATGGGTCAGGGCGGGGCTGAGCCTTTGCTCTGATTCAGCCTGGCGGCTGACTGTTCACCACCACTGTGGTCACTTTGTCAAAGGCAGTGGGGGGGGGGATGTCCTGTGTGTCACATATTACTTCAATACATGTTTGAGGGTGTTAGTGACAGACAAAAATTCCCGCATCTCACAAGCTTTAATTGTTTTGTGCTTGGTCAAGTATTCATCTTCTTCTTCATCAAGCTCTGATTCTTCCAGCAGTTCTTCGGATTCTGACGATGAGGTGAGGACCGCTTTGTTTCGTACTTATTTGAAAGGCACAGTTAAGATAGATTTTCCTTCCGCTGGTTCATTGCCCAGATGGCTGCACCAGCTGGTTCTGGGCCAGCCTGGAGCCAGGAGCCAGCAGCTTCTCCAGGTCTCCCAGCGGGAGCAGCTTCCCAAGAACCTGGGCCGACTTCCGCTGCTTTCTCAGGCGCATTAGCAGAGAGCTGGATCAGAAGTGGAACAGCCCGTTCTCAAGCCAGTGCCCAACTGGGATGCCAGCGGTTCAGCTGGCGACTTAACCCAGTGTATCACAACACTGGTCCTCCTCTAATTTCTTTACTATCAGGAGGACCCCTCTTATAAAATAGTTCTTAGAAATCTTTACTTCTGGATTTCCATTATTTATTCATAACTTACATAAAGTACCCACATGAGCAGATAGCTAGATATTTCAATAGTGATGTGAATCTATTCCTTAAATTTCTAAATTTGCTCATTTTTAAAATGTCTGATAAGATGGAGTTTTTAAAAAATTAAATGCTGCCTGATTAGTTGCAGGGATTATATGTGATTCAAAGCTCTTAATTTTATAAGATATTAATGATTATACATTTTGTGTATAAATAATTGTGGAAAAACATGTTTTTAGCTGATCTTCTACAAAATTGTGCTTATTGATAAAGGTTTGACATTAGTTAAATGCTTAAGCAATGCTTTTTACATAACAAGTTTTCAAAAAATTTTTATAGGATAAGAAACAAGGAAAAAAGAGGAAGAAAAAGAAGAGCCATTCACATAGATCTTCTGAGAGCTCCATGTCGGAAACTGAGTCGGACAGTAAGGTAACATCCTGGAGTCCCTGGCGCTCGACACTGGCGGTGTGAAGTCTGCCTGCATTGTGTTGCCCTGACCTCAAAAAGCACACATGTCCATGACTGACTACTTATTGTTTTGCATTTATATAGACTTGTAGTTCAGAGAAGCGTTTGCTCAGGTTATATGATTGGTGTGGGTGTTGGGGCATTACGGGGTGATCTGAGTCTCCTGCTTGACCTGGGTCCTTCCTGCTGCGGCGTGGGTGCCCATGTTCTCCACTGACTGGAGTGTGAATGAGTTGAGTGTGGGGCTTGTCACTTAAAAGGTGGGGTCTTGGTCTGCATCTCCACCACTGGAGTGGATGCCGTTTGTGACCCTGAGCCGCAGTGAGCTCTCGGGAAAGCAGGGCAGCTGGCCCTGCTTTGTACAGTTGTCTCCTGGTCCTCCAGAAGAGACTCTGTAAACGCTGGCTTTCTCTTTGTCTTAGAAAGCAGAGCGGTGGTTACTGAGTTTCTGCTGCCTTTTGAGTCAGCACTGTTCCGAACGTGTGACTGTATGCTCATTTGACCCTGCTGACACATATTTGAAGTAGTTATTTGTTGATCCATTGTGTGGGTATGTAAACTGAGACCCAAAGGAGTTTAGTAGCCAGGAGGAAGTGATTTGGAGGTGGAAGTACTGCCCCTGCTCCCCATGGGGAGTGTGGACAGATTGGCAGATGAGCACCGTGACCCGCAGCTGCAGTACATGGGACCATAGGAGGGGAAGTCGTGTTTGAAAAGAAGCTACGCGGAGTGTTCCAGGTAGCATCTGTCAGGTTAGGCAGAGGTAGATGTTCTACAGCTAAGTGAATCAAGAAGCCTGCTTGCTTCTAAGCAAATACATGGTTATGTACATTTCTTGTCCATTATCAGAGTAATATGCTAGAGTAAACTTTAACATCGAGCAGATCACTTTCGGTGTTTTTGTCCTTGTTCTATAGTAATTTGCATTTAAAGTTTATCTGTATGTTTTTGTTTAGGACAGTTTAAAAAAGAAAAAGAAATCAAAGGATGCAACTGAGAAAGAAAAGGTAACTGCTTTTTTTATATTGCTTTAAGGTGGCCTGTCACATAATATATGGGTCAGTAAAGTGACAGTAACATATCTTTTTAAGAGATTTATTACTTTGGCTTTTATGGTATTTTATGATAATTTAAGGAAATTTTTAAGGAAGTCTTTTTGGATTTATTTCTGAAAGTAAAAGATGAAAATATTTCTTATACAGACTTTGAATTTGTTTAGATTAACTCAGACTAAAAATGAAAGCCTCTTTTAATTAAAAAAAAACATGGACTTCTATTTCAAATTTAGTGTACCATAGGCAGATTTTAAGTTTTTATACCATTATAAAGAGATTTCTGTAGCTATGACTTGTCTATACTCAGTGCTAAAGTTTATCCCATCCCCCAAGTTTCTTTTTGGTATTTAAAAGTTTTTTCTTAGAATCAGTTACTAAAGCATAAAACCCTAAAAGAAAATGGAGCATGCATGCTTGTGTCACCATATTTCATTCTGTTTTTCATAGTTCGTTTAAAAACGAGTTGAAAACTGCTGTATACTGTTGACCATTTGTAAGTTAAAGCTCAGTAATATTTATTGTATTTCCAAGATTGCACAAACTCCATTTTGGAGCCTTTCTTCAGGCGCGTGCCCCTTAGGGGGTCTTCCTCCATCCTCCCCCCTCGTCGTTGGAAGCACCTGTGTGCTTGTCTGCGCTTCCCTCTTCCGGATAGATCATTGCAGCTATCCTTTTTTTTCTTTTTTAGATTTATTTAATTTATCTGAAAGGCATAGTTCAAAGATAGAGGTGTTCCATCCTCTGGTCCGTTCCCCAAATGTCTGACAGCCACGGGTGGGCCAAGCTGAAGCCAGGAACTGGGAGCTTCTCCTGGGTTTTCCTTGTGGGAGCAGGGGCCCAAGCACTGGGCTGTCTTGCACTGCTCCTTCAGGTGCAGTAGCAAGCAACTGGAGCAGTAGCGGAACAGCGGGGACTCAAACCAGAATCCAGATGGGATGCTGGCGCTGAGGTGACAGATAATGCACTGCTCCACAGTGCGGGTCCTACCACTGGACTTTCCAGTTAGTGTAATGTCCTGATTGAAACACGCAGTCTGCGCTTGCGCAAAGCGGCATTTGTATGTATATACTGTGTGTGTCCACTCATTTGTCTGTTGATGAATATTTGGGTTGCTTTCTGCCTTTTCACTACTATAAATAATTCTGTTGTCAGCTTATTTATGAACATGTCGGGTGTCTGTCAGTGTTTACTATTAGGTGTATTAACTGTGAACAGTTCAAATCCGTTTACAAGAAAAAAAAAATTAAAGCATTAGAGAAAACATCCATCCTGACCCAGGTTCAGTTAATTCAAAGAATTCAATAAATGCATGTGATTTGTCTACTAAAGATTTACTCGTTTATTTGAAAGACAGATTTACAAAAAGGGGAAGATGCAGAAAGGTCTGTCCATCTCCTGGTCTGCTCTCCAGGGGCCTCGGCAGCAGAACTGGGCCAGGCAGGAGCCAGAGGCTTCGTCGAGTCTCCCACGTGGGTGACACGGACCCAGGCCCTTGGGCCATGAGCTACATCTTTCCCAGGTGCATCCGCAGCCAGGACTTGGAACTGGTACCCATGTGGGATGCAGTGATACAGGCAGGAGCTTAACATTGCTGCATGACATGTGCGTGGTCCACAAATAGCAAACATGTATGTAAAATTAGGAGCAGGCATTAGCTCAAACTTTGCATTTGTGATTTAGCTACTTTTTGTTATAGTGGACGTTTATAGCTTAAACCGAAAGAATCAACCTGTGCACAGAAACCAAACAAAATCACCTGTAATTTACACATAGAGATCCTAGTTTGATTTTCCTGTGTGTTTCCAGCAAGTCTGATGACATTTAAGTGCTTGCTTTGGCGGGTTTCAGGTCCCCGCGTACCACCGGTCTTGCTTCTTTCTCAGAGTTAGTAACTTTCTCAGCATGAATGTGACTACACTTCAAGGCACTGAAGGAAGTGTTTGCACAGGTCACTTAGACCGTTTGGATGATTTGCCTGCTGATTTTCTTTTCAGCAGGGTTGTCTGCTCCAACTCTGAGTAGAAAAAAAGCAAAAAGAATTAGAACATCAAGAACCTCAATGTTATATTGGCTACATGTAAGAAAACAAGCACACTTCTACATCAGGATGACCACGTTTATTTCTGCATTATTGGATAAAAATGTTGCTATATTGTAATTAAAGGCATAAACTTAGACATTTCTAAAATTAGAATGAATATGAAAATTGGAACAGTGATTAAGAAGAACTTAGAAACAAATTTGTTTGGTTTAGGATTACATGTTTTATGTGAAGATATTTGTGTTTTTATCTATAGGACATCAAAGGACTCAGCAAGAAAAGAAAGACGCATCCTGAGGAGAGGCCTTTGTCGTCGGAATCGTCAGAACCAGATTATATTGAGGAGGTGAGTGTATAATCAAATCCTTTTCATAGTGTTCTTGGTTTAATAAATATAAATTAGTAAAAACAAATGCTTCATAAATATCTCATATGACAAAAGATAAGCAGCCTGTGGTGAAGTTAGCCCTTTTGCAGCAGGTTGCTGTTTGCACCTGCCTTCCCAGGTTGAGGTGTTCTAGTCTTCCCCAGTCTCTGCTGTGTCCCGCTCTGATCTCGATCACCTGGAGTGCTACACGAGTCACTGCCCTGAAGACCAAGCCCTTCCTCATCCAGTTACCTGCAGCATCGCACACACTCCCTCAGCTCAGCCGACGCTGTTCTTGCTTTTGTTTTGCTTTTGAACTGTGATTTGGGGGACCATAAAGTGGTAAGGTACGGCAGAAATGTGGCCGTAGCTCGGCTTCCCTGTCTACAATGCAGGCCCTCACGGGGGTCTCCTCAGCTCAGGCAGCTTCATGTCATGTTCTGTGCACTGTGGCTGATAGAGCTTCTTCCCAGGGAACTTCAGACTCAGCTTTGAAAAAAAGACTTTGTCAAACTGTTTTTATTAAGAAAACTAAAAGGAACTTGAAGCTACAGAGCGGTGCCTGGGATGCAGGAAGGTGGTGCCTGCGGTTTACATCGTTCCAAGTTCTTGCTGTTGCCAGGACATCACGCCTGACCTTGCACCAGGGCACTGGCTTTTGAAGTTGCAGCTTTCTTTCTAGATGAACATATCAGCCCCGACACTAGAACTGGCCAGTGGAGCTGGCCCCGGGTTCCGAGTGGTGGTGGGAGCCGACTGCAGCAAGCTGTCTCCTGCTCCCGTCTCCTGTGTTCCAGCTTCCCCCAGCCAGCCCTGCTTGGCCCCTCAGGCACTTCTGTCCCCCATCACCTCCGTGCCCCTCGGTCTCAGTTCTCTTTTTTTATGACTTTGTTGTACATTGGCGGCACAGTGCCTGGGTTTCTGGTTTTGTTTTAGTTCACCCCCAGTTGGTCACAGTGGCTAGAGCTGGGCCAAGCCTAGGAGACAGTGGCTCACGCCGTTGGTTCCCTGCTGCTCAGGGTGGGGACATGGATTGGGCCTGCCCCGCCACCCCCGGGCATCTGTAACCACACATGAGACAGGTGTCGAGTGTAGCACCAGTGTCCTGGGCATTTCCCCTTGAGGGTAGATGATGAAACCAGGTAGCATTCAGATGTTGGTCTGATTTCGGGGCTCATGTTTTACAAATATTTCTCATTAAAATACAAGAATTTAAAATGCCGTGTGAATTTCAAATTGTTTTCTACATATAGATTTGGAAGATGTAAGATGTATTAGAATGAAGGAAAAATGCATTGAGTACAAATTTACAAACTTCAGTTTTACATAAATATTTGAATTTTTCAGGTGCGAGCAAAAAAGAAGAAAAGCAGTGAAGAACAAGAAAAAGCAACAGCAAGTATCTCTTATTTCTACACGACACAGGGTGGCTGCTTGGGTTTGCCATCTAGCAGGCTGTGGAGAAGTGTGTTGGGTTGATTAGGGCACCTGGAAAGGCGTGGTGGTTGGCAGTTTGACCCGCTCATGGGTTGGAATCAGATTGGCCCCGAGAAAGGAAGAGGCTGGGCCTGAGCAGCTCCAGCTCCCCTTAGGATGTCACCATCAGTAATGCAAGTCAAACTTATTTGAAAGGCAGACTTAGGGAGAATCAGGCTTTCCACTGCTGAGAAGGAAGTGATCTCCCTGCAGGTCCACTTGCCAAATGCCCACAGCAGTCACAGGCAGTCCAGGCTGGAGCCAGGAGCCAGCGCCTCCATCCTGGTCTCCCACCTGAAAGGGCCCAAGGCCCAGGATTTGGACTGTCCATTGTTGCCAGATGTATCAGCAGAGAGCTGGACTGGAAGTGGAGCAGCTGGGACTGGTACTCACAGTCTGATGTGGGATACCAGGCATCTTACTACACTGTGCCACTACTAACCCCAACACCAGGGAACCCAGTTTTGTTTCAAGACAGATACAAACAGAGCTTGCGCCCTCTGGTGGACTGAGTGTCTGCAGCAGCCGCAGGCCAGGCAGAAGCAGGAACACCATGCAGGTCTCCCTGTGGGCCATAGGGGCTGTGTCACCTGAGCCATCACTGCCACTTCCAAGGTGGCCATCAGCGGGACGCTGGAAAGAAGTGTCGTGGTAACTAGATCTGAACATGCCTGCTGGACGAACCAAGAAGAGCAGCTAATGAGACTGGTGTTCAGTAGAATTTAAAGCTGGGCCAGTATAGGCAATGAAAGTAAGGTGACCCCTGAGCAGTCTAAGCAAGGAACAGCCAGCAGGGGAATAAAGAGGTCTCTGAAGGAGACCAGCAGAGGAGGAACCTGCTTGGCTACAGCCTGTCCCTCAGTGGTGTGCAGTGTTGAACTCTTCATAAAATTCCGTGTGTATTAAACGTACATTGGAAAACAGACTGGTGACAGGTAGCTTGGTGTCTCCAAATGGTAGAAGCCTTCTAGAGAGACATGCTTGACATTGAGGCAGATGAGCTGGTGAGGAAGCCCGCATGGCTGGAAGGCAGCAGAGCGTTGCCCAGGTACTTTGTTGGAGTCCCTGCCACATGGGAGACTAGGACCAAGTTCTGGCTTCATCCTGATAAAGCAAACAATGGAAGATCTCTCTCTTTTCTGTCTTTCAAATATCAAAAGAAAAAAAATATAATTCATGAAATGTAGCAGTTTGGAGGATGAGTCCATTGAATTAATTTAATACAGAAAGTTTTGTTAGAAGCTATGTTAAGGGGTCAGCGCGGTGGCCTAGTGGCTGGAGTTCTTGCCGTGCACGCACTGGGATCCCATATGGGCACAGTTCATATCCCGGCAGCCCCGCTTCCCATCCAGCTCCCTGCTTGTGGCTTGGGAGGGGAGTCAAGGACAGCCCAAAGCTTTGGAGCCTTACACCTGTGTGGGAGATCTGGAAGAAGTTCCTGGCTCCTGGCTTCAGATTGGCTCAGCTCCAGCCGTTGCGGTTACTTGGGGAGTGAATAAACAGATGGAAGATCTTCTCTGTCTCTCCTCCTCTCTGTGTTTCTGACTTTGCAATTTAAAAAAAAATCTTTTTAAGAAAAAGAAGCCATGTTAATACATTAATGACTTAGGAGTCTGTGAAGACTTGATGAAAAATGTTTTGAACAATTTTCTTGGTTGTGTGCATGGTTTGAAATGTAGTTGCTTAGAAGTACCATAGTAAAGATGGCTTTAGTTTGCCTATTTTCATGTAGTAATATGTTACACACGGTTGTCTTCACAGGAAAAAACAAAAAAGAAAAAGAAGCATAAGAAACACAGTAAGAAGAAGAAAAAGAAGGCTGCGAGTTCAAGTCCTGACTCACCGTAGCATCAAAACCGATCAGGATCCCTTATAAAGAAAGTGCAATGTGTAAGGAAATTCCAGCTGTGAAAACCATGGCGTAGTTAGTACAATGCATGACTTCCCTTGTTCTTAGAATCGCTCCTGGACTGTTGGGTGGCCGCTCCGATGCCACTGCGTGCAAGGGCGTGACTGCTGCCCGCTGCCTGACACCTGTTTTCTCCCTTCCAGCGCTTGGCAACTCTGGGAGCTCAAACACTGCAGTCATACCTAGTGACTCAGATACTTGGGAATGAAGCTAATAACTTTGACTAAACCTATCTAGCAGTGAATCGACAGAAACACTCTGGGTATGTCTCTAAGATGTAATTGGAAATGACCAGATGATTCTAGATCAATTTTTGAGTAGGGTTTCTATTGATATTCCAGAATCCTTACTCTGTAGATAAGTGTATTTTAATTTTGCCCCTTGTATACTTGTACTTTCCTGGGGAATGAACTTTGGGGGGTTGGAGGGGGGTTGCTATCTCTTTAGCTAGCAGAATAGTGTGCCTTGGGTCCTCCACATGTCCTCCTGTGGATACAGTAGCCATGCCTCACCGGGAAGGCCTCACGGGGAAGGTGGGCTGCAGCCAGCCTCGCCCTGAGCCTCGGGCGCTGCTCTGGGTGCCACGGAGAAGCAGCCCGGGCAGCCCAGAATGCCCTGTCTCTGGGACGGCCCTCCACTTGACAGTAATTGAACACTTTAGCATTAAAAGGTTTGCCGTTTGAATTGATTTTGACATCACTTTGGCTTTGGAGAGGAAGCATTTCAAATAGACACTGGTACTTTTTGAACTTGATAGCTAAAGATTCTAAAACGCATGTTTTTATATTAAGTTTTAACCAGTCAAGAAAATTTCATGTAACCAGTAGTAGTTGCTTCTTTTTTGTATGACTTTTACTTAGGCTGCAATGTAAAGCTTTTGGTAACTCCTTACTCTGCCTTTCTTAAGTTCATTAGTACGTTTAATGGCACCTTGCCAAGATACTTAGCATGTATAAAGCAGGATTTTCTTTTCTTTTTTAACAGCTTCATATTGAAGCTGGGACTTAACCATAAACAAGTTGAGTGGCAGGCTGAAATGCTGTGGTTTTGTTACATAAAGCTGTTGCCAGAATCTTAGTAAACAAAATATTTTAAAAGCGTGTTGTCTTTGTATATTAATAAATTATGACAGGTTAAATTTAAGAATTTCATTATTGTTCATCCTGTCTTTTACTAAGATTTTGTGCCTCACATCTCCTGCTGAATTGTTTATTAGGAATGTTAAACGAAATTTACCTATCATTTTCACTTTACATTTTTATATAATCAGGTGACAATGAACTAGAACTTGATTTGCAATTCTGCCTGTTACAGAGGGTGTACTGATCACAGTGGTGTATGCATGGCAAGAGGCTGAATAAAGAGCTATTTTACTTACCCAGCTGTGTTCTTAACTCCCTGGGGGTGCCAGGGAAGATCTGAAGACAGGCAACGCTGTTAAGTAGTTGGCAGATAAAGACATCCCTAAGGCTTAGCTGTAAAGTATAACATTTTTTGAGAAATTCCTTTAACTTTTATGCTTGGAGCTACATACTCTTTCCTAATAAAAGTGATTTATTCTTCTATTCTCTTGAATGCAAGAACTATTTGAAGACTGCCTTGTGTCGAATAGAAGCCTCAGAATCCTTGCTGGTGAGGGAGGGAGCAGGTCTGCCCACGGGGCGTGGGGCCCCGCAGGACCGGTGAGCTTGCCAGTGTTCTCTGCAGACTTCCCCTGCCTGGAACCTCTAACAGTCTCCCAGTAAGGTGTGGAGGGTGTATTCCAAAGTTACTGCAGTGTGCAAGTTCAAGTCTTCCCCTCCAGACTGCCCTTGCCCTTGAGTAGTTCTATGCCAGTTTTACAAGCACAAGCCATGTGGTTTAGATGCTGCAGCTGGGTAACAATTGGATGAGTATCTGGACGGAAAGTTGGCTTTATCCCTGTGCTACCTCTTTATTTTTGATTAGTTGAGTCTAATTTTGGATAGTACGCATAGTTCAGTTGAAGGAATGGCAAAGCAACCTTGTTATCAGCTAATTCATTCCTCAAATGCTTCCAACAGCCATGGCCAGGCTATACCCAACGCAGGGGCGAGCAGGCCCGGTGACATGGGCGGTGGCTTGCTGGAGCGTACGCAAGCAGAAAGCTGGGCAGAAACAAGCAGGGCTCTGACGGAGATGCCAGCACCTGTCGCCTGCCACCTGGACGTGCCGTGAAGGGACTTTTCCTCTGTCCAGATAGAAGACGCAACCAGTTTGGGGCAGGACCACCACAGCTGGGGCTGGAGTCCCCCAAAGACCTCACAGGGACGGGAGAGCACCACAGGCTATGTAGTAAGATTGCTGAAGGGTGAACGCAGTGCCTGCACCCCGGCACAGGAAAGGATGAGCTGATGGAGGGAGAGACGACACCGGAGGGGCCGAAGGGGGGGCTGGTGGGGACAGAGTCTCACGAGGGCATGTGGTCAGGTTTTGACGGGGGCGGGGAGGACAGTGGCTAGAGAGAAGCCTGCCCATGCAGCTCTCTCCCAATCAGCTCACACAGCTCTCACGGTCTGGCTGCATCCTCCCAGCCATGCCTGTTGGAGAGCGGGCCACAGCCCCTCGCAGGTTAGCTTTGTTTGTTTTGTTGCTGTGCTGTTTCACTCCCCAAAAGCCTGCAATAGCCAGAGCGGAAGTAGGCCAATGCCAGGAGCCCAGAACTCGCCCCCATCCAACTGTCGAGACGTGCCCTGAGCCATCACCTGCTGCCTCCCAGGTGCGCACTGGCAGAGCTGCCACCTGAACCCAGACACCTGTTGGATCGGGACGTCTCCAGTGGCATCTTATTTTTAAGATTTATTTTATTTTTGTCACAAAGTCAGATATACAGAGATCTTCCGTCTGATGATTCACTCCCCAAGTGACCACATAGGTCACTGCTGCGCTGATCAGGAGCCAGGAACTTCTTCCAGGTCTCCCACGTGGGTGCAGGGTCCCAAGGCTTTAGGCCATCCTGACTGCTTTCCCAGGCCACAAGCAGGGAGCTGGATGGGAAGTGGAGCTGCTGGGATTAGAACTGGTACCCATATGGGATCCCGGCATGTTCAAGGCGAGGACTTTAGCTGATAGGCCACGCCGTCGGGCCCCCTCCAGTGGCTCTTAACCACTGCATGAACTCCTCACCCCGTTATTTCAGTCAGTAAAGGCAATGGAATTGCCTGGGCATACTTGGATTTGGGATGATGTGCTCTGCTGATGGAAAAAAAAAAAGCCACAACCGGGCCCGGCGCGGTGGCGCAAGCGGTTAGGTCCTCGCCTAGCACGCCCGGGATCCCATATGGGCGCCGGTTCTAATCCCGGCAGCCCCGCTTCCCTTCCAGCTCCCTGCCTGTGGCCTGGGAAAGCAGTCGAGGACGGCCCAAAGCCTTGGGACCCTGCACCCGCGTGGGAGACCCGGAAGAGGCTCCTGGCTTCGGATCGGCATAGAATCGACCCGTTGCGGCTCACTTGGGGAGTGAATCATCGGACGGAAGATCTTCCTCTCTGTCTCTCCTCTCTGTATATCCGCCTTTCCAATAAAAAAAATAATAAAAATAAATCTTTAAAAAAAAAAAAAAAAAAGCCACAACCATGCTAGAAGTAATAGAAGTTGGAGCTGGTGCCATGGCACAGAGAGATAAAGCTACCACCTGCTTTTAAGGACACATTCGAGTCCCAGCTACTCAGCTTCTGGTCCAGCGCCCTGCTAATGCGCCTGGCAAAGCCATGCAAGCTGGTTCAAGGGCTGGAGCCCCTGCTGTCCATGTGGGAGACTCAGAGTTCCAGGCTCCCAGCTTTGGCCGGACTCGGCCCTGGTTATTGTGGCTATTTGGGGCATGAACCAGCAGGTAGAAGATATTTCTCTGTGTCTCTCTGTAGCTGCCTTTCAAATAAATAAGTAAAAAAAAAAAAAAAAGGAGGGGGGAAATTCCATAATACAAGTGCTGATGTTTTTATCTAGCCACAGATCAAGTATATTAGATGTTAATTACAGTATGATGAGTTTCAATTTCACGTTTGTTTTGATAGCTACTAACTACTTTATAAAACTGCCTTTACTCTGAGGCGCTGGTGTTCAGAAGCACGCCGACTTACAGCTGCTCATCAGCCATGTTCTACCACAAGGACAGTAAGGATGGATCAAATTAGACATTTATTTTGTATGAAAGTACAAAAAAGTGCATTGTAAAATATAAGCACCAGAATCAGAAGAGCTCTTGTTTCGAAGCACTGCTCGCCAGCAGCTCATATTCTCCGTCTCTGCTTTAGCGGACGACTTGCGGGAGCTGCTTCCGGCTGGCCCTCCGCAGGCTTTGGAGCAGATGAACTTACCTGGTTGCGAAAGAAAAAAGAAACCACTACATCATTCAGCACAGAACGAGAATCGATGGGCTCTTCAGAGGTGTACAGCCAACTGCCCGATCCTTGTCCTCACTTTTGTTTTAAACATTTATTTATTTTTATTGGAAAGCCAGACAGGCAGACAGGAGGAGCGTCAGGAAGATCTTCCATCTGTTGATAACACTCCCCAAGTGGCACAACAGCCAGAGCTGTGCCAATCTGAAGCCAAGAGCCAGGATCTCTTCTGGGTCCCCCAGGCAGGTGCAGGGTCCCAAGGCTTTGGGCCGTCCTCGATTGCTTTCCCAGGCCACAAGCAGGGAGCTGGATGGGAAGCAGGGCTGCAGGGATTAGAACTGGTACCCATATGGGATGCCAGAGCATGTAAGGCAGGGACTTTAGCCACCAGGCTACTGTGCTGGGCCCTTGTCCTCTCTTTAGAGGCAAAGCTGGGCCAAGCCCAAGGCATAGCTTAAGACCTCAGCATAAAGCAAGTTACTGTCCAGTGATGGCAGTGAGATAAGCGTGAAGAAGTGTGCGTGCACTCAACGTTTCTTCACAGACCGGAAGTCCTCTGTCTTGCGGACACTGATATACTGGTGTGTGTATATATATATATGTATATATATAACAAATATTATATATAAGACTTATAAACAGAAGAAGAGACAGAGAGGAAGATCTTCTATTTGCTGTTTCACTCCACATGTGGCCGCAACAGCTGGAGCTGCACTGACCCAAAGCCAGGAACCAGGAGCTGCTTCCAGGTCTCCCATATGGGCGCAGGGTCTCAAGGCTTTGGGCCGTCCTTGACTGCTTTCCCAAGCCACAAGCAAGGAGCTGGAAGAGAAGTGGAGCAGCCGAGATACAAACAAGTGCATGCAAGGCAAGGACTATAGCCCTTAGGTTATTGCGCCAGGCCCCTGGCTTATATTCTTGAAACACTGCTAGCAGTTGCTGGGCTCAACACAGGCTGCTCGGAGGAAGATGAGGACTTGGATGAAATGACCCCAAATGACCTGTTAGTGTCACAGGGGAAAGCCAAACATGCCAGCTAAAACAGTGGGGGCAGTGTGTTATGCAAATGAGCTAGTCCTCATTGAAATGCGAAGTTATTCAATACTATAGCAAACTGCAGTGGAGACTTGATATTTTTTGTTAAAAGTGTGGTCAGCCCTGGCCAAGGGCTCTGTATGTGTGCGCCTCTGTGTGCAGTCAGCACGCACACAAGCTTCAAACTGAATCAGTGGGCTTTGATTATGAAACAGCAGCAATTCACAGGCCCAACGGAATGGGAAGGAAACGCAGCTGCTTTGCCTCCTTTCCACACGCCATGAGACGTGAGCACGGCTTCTGGACCCTCGGGAGTGACAGGGCACGCTGTCAGACACGAGCACGGCTTCTGGACCCTCGGGAGTGACAGGAGACCCTGCAGCCCTCACGCAGTTCCAGATTCAAACCCACATCAAGATCTTGTGCAAAAATGCACCCACATGTTAACTTTCTTCTGTGCATGCTTTTAGACAATGCAAAGTGATCACATAAGGGGCATTATCTTTAAAAGACTAGCTACTTAGTACAATCTAGCTCTAAGAAGAAACTCAGTTAAAACACAGTCCTTTGGGCCTGGTGCGACACCCTAATGGCGAAATCCTTGCCTTGCATCCAGCAGGATCTCATGGGCACTGGTTCATATCCCGGCTGTTCCACTTCCCATCCAGCTCCCTGCCTGTGGCCTGGGAAAGCAGTGGAGGACGGCCCAAGGCCTTGGGACCCTGCACCTGTGTGGGAGACCCAGAGGAAGTTCTGGCTCCTGGCACTTGGAAAGTGTACCAGCAGCTGGAAGATGTTTCCGTCTCTCCTTTCTGTATATCTGCCTTTTCAATAAAAGAAAATAGTCTTAAAAAAAAAAAAAACCTGCAGTTCTTACAGCCCAGTCTTTAGCTCACCTCCACTGTGGCTAGCTTTCGCATATCAGTGCCTTGAGTCTGATGTCACCTGTGCTAACTCTGAAATAGCCTGGACCAGCTCCTTCCGCCTGGGCTTAGGCCGGAGCCCCCGCAGCGTCCCCAGGGCCCTGGGCCCCCTGGCCTGGGCCTGAGTGACCGCTGCACTCAGTGAACATATCACAGCGATATCATAACCATTCATCAGATCCAGGCTGATTCAACTGAGCACTGCAGAACAACACATCAAAAAACTAAAAACGTACTAACAGTGCTGTCCTGGCACGGTGGCTTAGTGGCTGAAGTTCTCACCTTACAAGTGCAGGATCCCATATGGGCACAAGTTCTAATCCCTGCAGCCCGGCTTCCCATCCAGCTAATGGCCTGGGAAAGCAATCGAGGACAGCCCAAAGCTTTGGGACCCTGCACCAACGTGGGAGACCAGGAAGAGGCTCTGGTCTCCTGACTTTGGATCGGCTTAGCTCTGGCCGTTGCGGCCATTTGGGGAGTGAATCATCAGATGGAAGATTTCCCTCTCTGTCTCTCCTCTTCTCTGTGTATCTGACTTTCCATAAAAATAAATCTTTAAAAAAGAAAAAAAAAGTATTACAATTGCTACAGATCTTCATGTACTTACCTCTCTAAGCTTATTCCGAATGAGGGTCGCGGTGGCATTCAGCGAGGGGTCCTGCATGTCCACCTGGGGCTCCCGCGGCAGCAGAGGCCCAATCACCACCTCGGTGCTGCTCGGGTTCCTTGCAAGCAGTGCTTCAAGTTTACGGTCATCTTCCCTCCGGCGTTTCCGCTCCTGCAGCTGTGTTGTCCGGGGCATAAATCTACTCACGGCAGCTGAAGCAGTGATGGCCCCAAGCGTCCCAGCACAGGCCGCCCCGTCTGTGGAAGCTGCCGGTGGTTTCTGCGGAGGGTTCCGCGGGCGTGCTCCCGCGGCGTTAAAGTGGCTCACCCCCAGCGCGAAGGGGTCTGGGGGTCCACCCACACACTCCCCAGGCGAGCCGGTGAAGCACCCCAGGGGCAGTTCGTAGGAATATGGGAGAGGAGGGTACATGTGCCCGGCAGGCGTGCTCCTGACAGCTTCCCAGCAGGCACCAGCAGGGAAGTCTGGTCCGACAGCTCCCGGGTCCTCCTGCGCGGGGAGCGGCTTCTGCTTTGTCGGGAAGCGGTCTTCACGTTACCCGTCAGCACAGCACAAAGGAAGCAAGTTCGTTTACCGCGCTTAGCCTTCCCAGCACACATCCTGCCTGCACGCTAGTCTGTCTCCATGGGGGCACGCTCACGGGTTACACGCAGGAGAAGGTGTCGGGCTTGGCCCTGTCCCAGGCAGCTGGGATTTGTGTCACAGAAACTCCCCTGTAGACCGGTGGCTGGTCAGAAGTGGCCCGTCTCTACTGCTGGCCAGTCACTGCCGCTACACACTGCCTTCCGGCAGAGGCTTATCCCCCAGCGTGGACACAGGATTTATTCCTGTCCACTCTAATTGCATTGCTCCTGAAAGTTCCCTGCCCAGGGCGTCCTGTATCAATCAGTTCCTTAAAAACATGAAGCCTGTTTATACCCTGGGAAGTTAAGTACAACTCTTCCTATCCCTCCAAGGGTGACATCTGCATTTTCTCAAAATTTCACCACTGCTCACGTGCCATGGGACACCTTGCACTAGCCCCATAGCAAGGGGACCAGCGAGGGCCACCTTGCTACCCCCCGCGCCCAAGGAGACTGGGGACTCCAGGACAAGTGGCTGCCAGTGCCTGTCCCAGCAGAGCTGTAGCCACAGGTCCTCCATACCTTTGCTTCTGGTACATCTGAATATGTAAGCCCTTCTCGATTCTAACTTTCTCCTGGTTTCTTCCACCGTTTCAAATTCCGGAGCATAGCACACGTGTAGCAATCCGCCAAAGAAGCTCTGCTCGTCCATCTTCCGCTTGGCCGTCCTGGACAGGACACATCACAGCATGGCTTACTGACGCAGGCTTGCTGAGGACCAAGGCTCAGCTAGCCTGTAACACGCAGATCTAGTCGAGCCAGCATGCGCTGTGCGCCTCTCTCCTGCCCCCTGCACCCGTGTGGGGTGCTCCGGGATCCCACCTGCACCTATCCAAACACTAACAGGTTTTGAATGATGTCATGTACATATCTGGACTCGCCTCAAACCATCCAGGGCCTGCTGACTGGCCCAAGATCCAGAAATAGTGGCCATGAAACAGCTTTTCTCTGATCCAACTTACCCCATGCTTAATTTATCCCTTTCAGCACAATGTGTTCCTACAGTGGGACTCTTATATAAAATAGTAAGAATGGGCCCGGCGGCATGGCCTAGCGGCTAAAGTCCTCGCCTTGAATGCGCCGGGATCCCCATATGGGCGCCAGTTCTAATCCCGGCACCTCCACTTCCCATTCAGCTCCCTGCTTGTGGCCTGGGGAAGCAGTCGAGGACAGCCCAAGGCCTTGGGACCCTGCACCCGCTTGGGAGACCTGGAAGAGGTTCCTGGTTCCCAGCTTCGGATCAGCATAGCATCAGCCGTTGTGGCTCACTTGGGGAGTGAATCATCGGATGGAAGATCTTCCTCTCTGTCTCTCCTCATCTCTGTATATCTGACTTTGTAATAAAATAAAAATAAATCTTAAAAAAGAAAAACCAGTAAGAATGATGTCACTAAACAAATTTTCAGTAACAGGAAATATTAGATGTAAAAGAACTCGGCGAGGAAACAGGATGGCAGGACCGCTAGAACAAGCCGCCAGTGCATCTGGCGTCAGGAGAGTGCACTGCATCTGTGCCCCTGGCGAGCACTAACACGGAGATTCCCCTGTGTGCCTGGCGCCCCCAAGCCACCCCACAGTGAAGCTGAGGCCAGGGGTGTTGGGGAACAGGCCAGGTAAGTGCAGGAACATGGCGGAACAGGCCATGGTGGTGCAGGGGCATCAGGGAACAGGCCATGTGCTCACACTGCTTTCTGGACCTGGGGTTCAAATCTTTCACCTGCTACACACTAGGGAGATGTGAAACCATGGAAAACTCCCCAGGCAGTGAGATTCCTATCTGTGTGAAGTCAGCTTGGGCAGAACCTTCCCCGTAAACTCAAGCATCAGTGGCAGGCTGAGCATACTGCTGGCCAGAGGGAGGCTGTGGACTGGAACAGCCTGAGGGCCCCACCGGGAGGCCAGGGACTGGATCAGCCCCAGGGTGTGGGCCCTGGAGTAGCCTAGAGATGAGCCAGCATCCTAGACTGCCTGCTGCAGCACCAGAACAGTGCAGGGATCATAGGAAAGCATCAAGTCGGGCCAGTTCGAGCAGGGCCCGAGCACTAACGCAGACGCTAGTGCTAAGAGCTCTTCCACCGAGTGATAGCATTTCACACTCATGCAACTTCAACACGTAGAATCTCATTATCACAGAAATGAGCCCAGGGTATCCAAGAACTTGCCCGACGTCATGATGCTAATAAGCAGTGAGCTTTGAGAACTTTAACTCCAAACTAATTTTAGTCTATCAAAATATATGACACCGAACTGCGAGGCCTGGGCATGCTCTGATGGGGATAGTGTTTTGGTAAATTTAGAGTTTAAAGACTGGAGGAAGTATAGTCAAACAAGGAAACCCTCAAAAAGTTCCTGGAGGCACCATCAGCCTTGTAAAATAGTGTGTGAAGATTCTAACTGCGACACTGGCATCCCACAGGGGTGCTGGTTCAAGTCCTGGCTGCTCCTGGGAAAAGCAGAGGAAGACGGTCCAAGTGTCTGGGCTCCTGCTAGCCCATGGGAGACCCAGATGAGGCTCCTGGCTCCCAGCGTCAGCTTGCACAGCCCTGGCCATTGCAGCCACGGGGGCAGCGAACTAGTAGATGGAAGATCTCTCTCCCGCTCTAACTTGTCGCTGTCCCACAGTGATGGACTTGATGCGTGCAGCCGATGATAACACACATGGACTCTGACTGATGGTCAAAAGCCGAAGTTTATTAGTGGCATCAGACTTTATACACTGAGGGTCATAATGGGATAAGGAAGTATTGAACTATCAACAAAACCCATCAGCTGTTTTTATACTTCTGTTTGGAACTCCTTTTATTTTGTATATTCCACCAAGTGTTCTCATTCACAGGCTGTCCACGCAACTGTTCTTATACAAATGATATGCAATCAGTTATACAAAAGGTATCCATTCAGTTGTTATAATACAAATATTATCCAATCAGCTGTAATCCTATGACCTTCCAGGGTCATAATGTCCTTCTATAGTAACTCTTCACACAACTCTGTCAATTTTGGGGGAAAGTTCCGGATGGATGGGGACCTATATGATGAAATCCCCCCTCCCCTAGGGGAGTGCCTGGGTTCGACTCCCATCTCCAGCGTCCTGCCAGTGCACCCTCAGGCCTGTGCTCCTGTCTCCCAGGGAGGAGGCCCCGGGCATTTGAGGAGTGAACCAATATATAAAGGCTTTCATTGCTCTTTTTTTCTGCCTCTCATAAAAAACTAAAACTTGCTTTAAATTTGAAAAACTCGTGGAAAATGGAACTTTTATTTTGGTGCAAAAATACATAAAATCTACATATAGTTTTTTTTTCATGATATCCCATTTCCATGGTCCTTTGTTTCATTTTGTTTTTTGGTAAATTAAAAATTTTCACCGTATCTGAAAGGCTCAGATTGAAGCCAAAAGCTGCCCTTTCTGAAGATCTCATGGAACCTCACACCTGCACTGTGGCAAACCCATCTCTTAAGGCCATTCCCATGACCTGTGTGAAATGCCCAAGCTTTCTCTTATCACCGGGCACATCGGCTGCCCACGAGGAAAGCAGGGACCAAGTGGTCGCCCAAGGGGCGCAGGAAGCCAGGGCACCCTCAGCTCTCGCCTCACCTGGCGCTCTGTAAGTGCGTAAACTTGATGAGGAAGACTTCCGTGAACTCTTCGGCCGGGTACTCGTCTAAAGCATTGTACTGCTCGATGGCGCCGTACAGAGCAAACCGCTCGACCAGCTCCTTCATGGCTCCCACCGCGGGGACCCCCTGGATCAGCAAATACTGAGACTCCAAATTGATGGTGTACACCTAAAAAAAATAAATAAATAAAATGAAAGGCCAAAACACAACACTCTCTGGCTCAGTGCCCTTTACAAACAACCCTAAGAGTCTGTGCGGATGGGAAGCATATGTGATCTGGCGGCGTGCAAAAGCCAGAGAATGCAAACCTGGGCCACTGAGCGTCCCCTCGCCGTGAGAAGGCGACCCTCAGGGCAGGCACCCCCCGACCCCCTGCAGCCGGCGATCAGCAGGTCGTCCCCCGTCACTCAGCAGACGCCCAGCGGCGCCGCACGACGGCGTCCCCCGGCCCTGGACCCCCGAGGCCGGCGTGGCATCGCCGCTCCCGGGGCACCGGCCCTCCGCGACGCCTGACGCCCTCTCCCCGCCCGCGGCGGCCGGGTCCTGCTGTGTCCTCACCCTGACGGCGCGGGGCCGCCGGCCCTCGCGGTACTTGGCCCGCGTGTCGCACACGGCCTTGGAGACGTGGTGTTCGAAGAAGCCCCCCAGCTGCCCGCCGCTCGCCGCCATCGCGCGAGGAAAACATCCGCCCGCCGGCCCCGCTCTCCTCTAATCAGCGAGCGGGACAAGGCGAGGCGAGCCAGGATTGGCTGACGAATCGACTGCGTCGGCCGTCGTTCCCTGCGGGCGAGGATTCGGTGGGCCCTGCGTCTCCCCTGGCGGCGGGGCGGAGACACTGCGAGGACCTCGCTCAGGCTTCCGGCGCCGTGCGTGCAGGGGGCGGGGCCGATCGATCGTCTCGGGCTCCGACGCCCTCGGCCTTGCTCGGGCAGAGGTCAGACGCGGCGTGCGGGTGCTGGGTGCGGGCAGGGCGGCCGGCCGGGCTCCCGCACCATGTTGGGCAGTGGTCGCCTGGCGGGGACCGGGGGAGGCGGGGCGGTGGTGACCGTGGCCTTCACCAACGCACGGGACTGCTTCCTGCACCTGCCGCGACGTCTGGCGGCCCAGCTGCAGCTGCAGCAGGTGAGGTCGCGAGGGAGGCCTGCGGCCGCAGCCCGGGGGCCTTGCGGGGTGTCCGCCGCCGCGGGGCAGCGAAGCGCGAGGCCGGGCCGGGGGTCCTCGGGGGCGGCTGGGCTCTGGGAACAGCGCCAGGCCCGTTCACGTCACTGTCCCGGGCCTGCCCACGCTGGTAAAGTCAGAGGTTGCCTCGTCCCTCTGGCTGCGGTGTCTCGGTTCTAAATCTACATGGTTCTGCTTGGACCGAAACAGTAAGTTTGTGTCTTACTTAGCCGGGGCCTCCGTGTGTTCGGAATAAGGCCGTGCAAGCTGTGGGCTGCTTCTCGCCCCTGGGAACGCTGCAGGGGTTGCACAGCCCGCAGGGAGGGTGGCAGGGCATTGCTGCCAGCTGTGGGGGCAGCACAGCTGTGGGGCAGCCGGCCACGAGCTGGGGCAGCCGGCCACGAGCTCTGGGGGCAGCACAGCCGTGCGGCAGCCGGCGCCCGCGGAGCAGAGTCAGGCGAGGCTCGGGTTCACCCCGCTCTCCTTCCCGTTTCTCACCGAGTAGAATCAAGCGATAGAAGTGTCCTGGGGCCAGCAGCCCGCGTTCCTGAGCTGGGTGGAAGGCAGGCGTTTTGGCGATCAAGGTGAAAATGTGGCTGAAATGAGCAGACATCTGGGCCAGAAGCTCGGACTCGCCAGTGGAGAGCAGGTAAGCGCCCCAGGCAGTACTGGCGACTGTTCTGATGGCCCCAAAGGGCCAGCTGCTGGGAAGGAGGCGGGCCCTGGTGGACTCAGCCGCCGATGGTCACCTAGGTGGGTGCTGGCCGAGGTGGGTGCTGGCCGAGGTGGGTGCTGGCCGGCGTGCGGCAGCCTGGCTCTGTCCTTGTGTTTCCTGCGTTTTTCCGCTGTCAACTTGGAGGCTTATTTCTGAGGTTGATTTTCCAGCTTTCCGTCGTCTTGGTTAAAATATCAGTTGTACCATAACAGGGTGTTTTTACACTTTTTTTTTGGGGGGGGGCGGATTTGTTTATTTAAAAGGCAGAATTAAAGAGGCAGCTGTAGAACCACCAACACCCTAAGTGGTTGCAGCTGCTGCGGCAGGCCCAGGGCAGGCACCTGCAGCTCCTCCGGGCCTCCTGTGTGGGCCACAGGGCCACCTGTGTGGGCAGCACAGGCTCTAGGGCCGTCACCTGCTCTCCCAGCTGCCCTAGCAGGAGCTGGGTCAGAAACAGCCAGGACTCTGCTGGGTGCTCACATGGGATGCCAGCATCAAGGCAGTATCTTTCTTTTTTTAAGATTTATTTAATTTTTATTGTTAAGTCAGATATGCAGAGACGAAGATCTTTTGTCTTCCTCTCCCCAAGCGGCCACAACGGCTGAGACTGAGCCGTTTTGAAGTCAGGAGCCTTCTCCAGGCTGCCCACACAGGTGCAGGGTCCCGTCCTCCACTGCTTTTCCAGGTCACAGGCAGGGAGCTGGATGGGAAGCGGGGGCTGCCAGGATTAGAATCAGCGCCTATATGGGATCCAGGCACCTGCAAGGCCTTCGAGGACTTTAGCCACTAGACTACTGCACCAGGCCCAGGCAGTGTCTTAATCCACAGTGCCACTACGCCAGCACAGTCCCCACGGAGCCCCCTCCCTCATCTGTGTGTGTGTGACAGAGACCCTCCTGTGGCAGTGCCCTAGGCCACTGTCTCTGCAAGAATTCCTGGCAGGACACGAAGCGGACCAGCCCCAGGGGTCCGTGGCTTTGCTGCTTGTCCTCCTCAGATTCATCTGCATGGCTCAGGGAGGAGGCGGGCAGTGCTGCGGGCTGTGGGCCATGCCTGGAGTGTGGCTGTGGCCCAGGTCAAAGCCACGGACACTTGCACTGCCTGCTTGCTGGGCCAGGGCTCTGAAGGGTTGCCGGGTGCTCTGAGGCCGTGGCTCTGGGCTCTGTTTCAGGGTGTTCTCCTTGGTAGAAGCAGCACCGTCTTCAAACAGCCAAAACCTCACAGAAATCACGAGCATTGGGTGTCGGACCAAGCATTGGGTGTCGGACCAAGCCCCGAGTTCAGGACATTATCATTTTTTCTTCCATTTTTGTTTGCTTGTTTGTTTAACCTACATTTCTTTCCTAATGATCCTGTTTGTTTTTGGAAAACATGCTGTGTGTGGCTGCATTTTCCCTTCTTTGATTGTGAAAGGATTTTCCTGCTGTGCTGGGCGTGCAAGGGCTGGCTTGGAATGGGCACCTAATCAATATGCACACGACACACAGTTACTTCGTGCCGCCAGCTGCAGGCCAGTGTGGCGAGGTCACCGCGCGTGCTCCCTTTCCAGGTCTTCCTCAGGCCGTGTCCCCACGTGGTGTCCTGTGAGCAAGTTGAGGTGGAGCCGCTATCGGTGGACGACTGGGAGATACTGGTAAAGAAAGCCCACTGCTTTAAGGCCTGTGGCCTCGGGGTCCGCTCCGGGTGTCCTTGTGTGTTGGGAGTTGGTTTGAAGTGTAAGAAGGAGCTGTCAGAGAATGAAAATGAGGAGCACAGGTAAAAATAAAATTGTGTTGGGTTTGAGATGCCAGCCAAGTAGATTGTGGCGGCTCTGACCATGAAAACAACTGCGCAGACGGGAGCAACAGATAGCAAGCTGAATCCATAGAGACACAGAGTAGCGGGTGTTTCTCACTGAGGCTGCAGGCAGGGGAGGGCAGACAGACCGAGCTGCGCCCTGGTTTCTTGCCTCCAGGAGCTGCATGCCACCGCCCTGGAACAGCACCTTCTGGGTCAGATCCGCGTGGTTTTCCCCAAAGCCGTCCTGCCTGTGTGGGTCGACCAGCAGACTCATCTCCTTATCCAGATTGGTAGGTGCAGCCCTCGCTTGCCTGTGGCCTCTCTGCCCTGGCCCTGGTTCGAGCCCAGGGAGTGTGCTGACCAGCTCTGTTTCCTGCACAGTTGCACTGACGCCCGCAGCCGCTTTCGGAAGGCTGGAGGTGGACACACGACTCCTGATTCGGCCAAAGACACGTCCAGCGGAGGAGCAGGCCTTTTCAAAGGCACTTCACGCCCGTGGGGAGTTTGACAGTTTGGAAAGGGACCCGCAAGGACCCACGAAGGGGTTTCCAGCCAAGCAGCATCCATCAGATACCCCACAGGGCGCTGGGTCCGGTGGCGCAGACCCGCAAGTCTCCGAGGACTCGTCTCCAAGCTTGTGGACCAGGATCGGAAGCATTTTTTCTTTTGGATCTGAAAAGAGACCAGAGACCTCCTGGGGCTCCAGTGAATTCCACGCGTTCAGAAACATGCAGTCGCAGGCCGTCCCGCTGGACAACGTGTTCAGAGTGTGCCGAGCTCAGCCCCGCAGTGCCAACCCCGCCACAGCACCTGCCGTGTGGACCGCACACTCTGTCGTTCACGTGTTTCCCTGGGACCAGGAATACTTGGACATGGAGCCCAGCTTCCCTGTGACCTATGGGCAGCTGGTTAAGCTGCTTTCCCCAAGGCAGCGGCATGGGAGGACCAGGCGGGACGCCCTGTCGCCTGCAGAGGAGAGGCAGCGGTCTGAGGTGCCCGACGCGAAGCCGCCTGGCTCGGCGGGCACACCGGAGGCCGGGAGGGCGTGCGTGCTCAAGGTGGTCTGGAACGGGCTGGAGGAGCTGAGCAGTGCCGGCAAGTACACCAGGAATGGAGAAGCTCTCCATTTTGGCAAAGTCTGGGTTGGTATACATTTTAAAATTGGGAGGGAAGGGAGAAGGGAAATGTATGTAACTGCAGTTATGACCAAGAATTATATGTATATATAATATGTAGCATATAGTATATAATATATAATATAGATCTCACTATGAAACCAGTAAGTACAGTGTCAGAGACACAGCTCTGCTTGCCAGGTAGTCTTTGGGCCAAGAGACTTTTCCAGGCTCAGAATGTGGCTCAGGTTTGGCCACATTCAGACCTTGAAGTCGCAGAATGCTTGGCTGAGGTTGCTTAGCTGACAGGTGGTGGAACTGGGGCTGCAGGCAGAGCAACTGGCTCCACACAGTATTTTTTTTAAAGATTTATTTATTTTTATTGCAAAGTCAGATATATAGAGAGGAGGATAGAGGAAGATCTTCCGTCTATTAATTCACTCCCTAAGCAGCTGCAACAGTTGGAGCTGAGCCCATCTGAAGCCAGGAGCCAGAGCTTCTTCCAGGTCTCCCATGCGGGCGCAGGGTCCCCAGGCTTTGGGCTGTCCTCCACTGCTTTCCCAGGCCACAGGCAGGAGAATAAAGAGCTGGAGAGGATCTTGCCGCTGGCCCATGGCTGGGCACACACTGGCGCTGTGCCGGCCTGCTCGTGTCTGCCATCGGCACGAGCATGTCGGCAGAGGAGGGAGACAGCGCGGGCCTGGGCCGCGTCTCCTCACCCTGGCCCCAGATGCCAGGGCCACACTTGTATGGCACTAGTGGCCAGCCCTCTGAGCCCAGTGAAGTAGCCTGTGTGGTGAGGAGGATGGGCAGGAGGGTTCTTCCTGCGGTTTCTGTTCTCCCCCTGCCATCTTACCGCACAGGCCCCGTCACCTTTGCGCCATTTTCTGAAGCTCTGTATC